TTATCAGGTCTAGGAGTCTTTTGGAGGAATTTTTAGGGTTTTCTAGGTATAAGATTATGTTGTCAGCAAACGGAGATAATCTGACTTCCTCTTTTCCAATTTGGATGCCTTTTCTTTCTTTCTCCTGCCTGATTGCTCTGGCTAGGTCTTCCAGTACTGTGTTGAATGGGAGTGGTGAGAGTAGGCATCCTTGTCATTTTCCAGTTCTTAGGGGGGGATGCTTCCAAACTTTGTCCATTCTGTATGGTGTTGGCTGTGGGTTTGTCAGAGATGGCTCTTATTATTTTGAGGTATGTTCCTTTGAGGTCTAGTTTGTTGAGGGTTTTCTAAAAAAAAATCATAATGAGAGGTTGTATTTCATCAAATGCTTTTTCTCGGTGCACACAAAAATTTACCTAGGAATACATTTAACTGAGGAAGTGAAAGATCTCTACAATAGGAATTATGAAACACTGAGGAAAGAAATCGTAGATGACACAAACAAATGGAAAAACATCTAATACTCATGAATAGGAAAAATAAATATCATTGAAATGACCACACTTCTCAAAGCAGTTTACAGATTCAATTACTGTAGTCATTTTTCACACAATTAGAAAAAACAATTCTAAAATTCATTCAATTCTAAAAACCAAAATGAGCCCAAACAGTCAAAATGGTCCTAAGCACAAAAGAATAAAGCCAGAGGCATCACATTACCTGACTTTATACTATGTGGCTGTAGTAACCAAAACAGCATGGTACTGGTACAAAGATGGATACATAGTTCAATGGAACAGAATAGAGAACTCAGAAATAAAGCCCCATACCTACAACAAACTGATATTTTACAAAGCTGACAAAAATAAACAATGAGGAAGGGATACCTTATTCAGTAAATGGTGCTGGGAAAACTGACTTGCCATGTAGAAGAATGAAACTGGACCCAATATATCACCATACACAAAAATTAACTAAAGATAGATTGAAACACTAAGTGTAAAGCCTGAGAGTATAAAAATCATAGAAGAAAACGTAGGAAAAAATTCTTCTGGACATTGGCCTAACCAAATAATTTATGACTAAGACCTCAAAAGCAATTGCAACAAAAACAAAAATAGAGAAATGGGACTCAATTAAACTAAAGCGCTTTTGCACAGGAAAAGAAACAACAGAGTTAACAACCTACAAAATGAGAGAAAATATTTGCAAACTATGCATCTGACAAAGAACTAATATCCAGAATCTATAAGGAATACAAACAAATCAACAGAAAAATAACTCCTTTAAAAAGTGGGCAAAGGACATGAACAGACATTACTCAAAAGAAGACATAAAAGAGGCCAACAAACATATGAAAAAATGTTCAACATCACTAATTGTCAGGGAAATGCAAATCAAAACTACAATGAGATATCATCTCATACCAGTCAGAATGGCTATTATTAAAAAGTCAAGAAATAACAGATGTTGGTGAGGATGTGCAGAAAAGAGAATGTCATACACTTCTGGTGCGAATGTAAATTAGTACAACTCCTATGGAAAACAGTATGGAGATTTCTCAAAGAACTAAAAATAGAACTACTCTTTGATCTAGCAATCCCACTATCAGTATCTACTCAAAGGAAAGGAAATCATTTGACCAAAAAGACACCTACACTTTTATGTTTATCGCAGCATCATTTACAGTCGCAAAGTCATGGAATCAATCTAAGTGTTCATCAATAGTTGACTGGATAAAGAAAATGTAGTACATATTCCATACGATGGAATACAATGCAGCCACAAAAAGAAAAAAAATTCATGTCCTTTGCAGCAACATGGGTGGAGCTGGAGGCCATTTTTCTATGTGAAATAACTCTGAATCAAAAAATCAAATATCAGATAGTCTCACTTATAGTGGGAGCTAAACAATGGGTACACATGGATATAAATATGGAAATAGTAGATGTTGAGGACTCCAAAAGAGAGGTGGGTGGAAGGGTGCCAAGAGTTGAAAAACGACCTATTGGATACCATGTTCGCTATTTGAGTAATGCTTTCACTAGAAGCCCAAACTTCAGCATTACATAATATACCTATGCAACAAACCTGCACTAGTAACCCTGAATCTAATGTTTAAAAAAAAAAATGAATTTGGAGGGCCGATGCAAACATCCAGACCATGGCACATGTTTATGATGGTTTCATAATACTTTTATAATATTATGTCTTCTAGTTTCATTTTCTTTTGTTCCAGTTATCAATTTATTCCCTCAGCTCCAAACTCATGCATTGCCCAGTCTCTGAAAACATAAACAGTCTCTTTAAATGTTTATTTTCTTTTGTCAGCCGGCATAAACTTAACTTTGTCAGTAGAGGGCGCTGAAGAGACATTGCAAGAGAAAGTTTTGCTCTGGGGTTCCGCAGATTTTGAAGCACGTGTTACTACTTCTCTGTGCCCAGCTTTTGCAGCAGGCACAGCTATTCCAGTGCCAAGCTCCTGCAGTGAGTCCATGGTGGCCAGCAGCACCTAGCAGCTTTCAGCTTTCCTCAGTATCCCCCTAAGGTGGTTTTGTAGCAGTGTGACTCGGGTGAGACATTTCCCTGCCACCAGCTTTCCCCAGTAGCACAGAGTGTGAATTTCCAGCAGTTGTTACCAGTGCAGCGCCATGAGCACTTTTCTGGCTTTTTGTGAGCCACAGTCACGCCCATGGTCTGGCTATCAGCCTGCCAGGACCTCTTCATTTGTCTAATATTTAAAAGATTTCACTAGCAAAGTCATGGGGGTTGGGGATTTTCTTTATAAGAAAGTTGTCCTTTAATTTGTGTGTGTGTGTGTGTGTGTTTTTTTTGGCAATAATTTCACACTTACAGAAAAGCTGAAATATAGTACAGAAAGTTTTCATATACCCTTGATTCAGCTTTCCTTAAAATTAACATTTCTCATAACCAGAGTAAAATTATCAACACCAAGAAATTAACATTGGTATGATATTATTAACTAAATCACAGACCTCATTCAAATTTCATTAGTTTTTCTATTAGTGTCCTTTGTCCCAAGATCCATTTAAGATCTCACAATGTATTTAGCTGTCTGTTTAGTCTCCTCCAGTCTGTGACAGTTCCTTAGTCTTTCCTTGTCTTTCAGGATCTTGACACTTCAAGAATTCTGGGAAGCTATTTTATAATATGTCCTTCAGTTTGAGTCTGTCTGATGTTTTCTCATGATTAGATGAAAGTTATGCAAAAATACCACACAAGCGATGCACTCTTCTCTGTGAATGATAATTGGGGTGCCTGGCATCAATAGGCCCATCCTGGCAATGTTATCCTTGATCATTTAGTTAAGGTGGTATCTGCAGGATTTATCCACTTTAAAGTGACTATTTTTTTTTCTTTTGAAATTAATAAATATACCAGGGGAGAGTCTTTGAGGCTATATGAATATTCTATTTCTCTCTAAATTTATACTCATTAATTTTAGCATACATTGCTGGATCATCCTGTAAAAATTTATTACTATAGAATTTACCTAATACTGATTTTCTACTTCCCTCATTTTTCCTGCACTAATTGGAATTTAGAGTTGTGATTTCTCACTCATTTATTTACTTACTCAGTTATTTGTTTATTTATATCAGTATAGGTATTTATTTTATTCTATGGGTGATAATCCAATACTCTTACTTTTTTTTTCCTCTCAAATTGTTCCCCTTTTGGTCATTTCTCTGCCTTCTGACATGTCCCATTTGTTTTTGAGCACCTTCTTACTTTCTGGCATGAGAAGATATTCTACGTTCATTTTGTAGTTTTGTGATCCCAGACCTGTAGTCAAACATTTCTCCAAGTAGCCTTGATTCCTTTTATTGGAGATTGATATGACAAGATAGCTGGCTAACACCTTGAGTGACAGACCCTGAGCAGAGTATCTAGCTGAGTCATGCTAGTCTCCTAATCCATGGAAGCTGTGCAATAATATATTTGAATAGTTTTAAAGCCTGTGGATGGTAATAACTTGTTACAAAGCAAAATAAAACTGATACACCCTTTTTTTCCCGAAGACATTCAATTTTGATATGCCATTCCTCTGCTTTTAGAGCCTTAATAACTTCTCATTGTCTTAATGATAAAATCCAACTTAATTAAAAACTTGCAAGGCCCTCTTCGGCCCTAGTCACCTCCCTAGCCCCATTGCTTATGAATCCAATGCTCTCACTCCATTCCAGACAGACTGAAATACTTGGATGGCCCTGATGATACCATGTTCTCCTGCCTTCCTTGCTTTCACTTCATGTCTCAGTTTAAACTTTAATTTGCTAGGAAGTCTTTTGCAAGTGCCCCAAGACTGGATAAGGCTACTGTTCTCCTGGCTTTCAGAGAATCTTGTTTAGTACTTAGCACGGTAATTCAGATGTCTGTGCCTGACTGTCTTCCTGAGTATACAGCACTCTCTTTGAGGGCATGTTTTTTATTTTAATTTTTATGTTTTAAATCTTACCCACCATTATCCTTCCCCAGGGTCTATGCCAGTGTGGACTGAGTGAAGGAGTAAATGAGAAAATGAACAGCGTAATGCCTTATGAATTCAGGAAAAGCTGAATCTTCATCTGTTTGTTCCAGTGCAGACAGGCTTGGCTTTGAATACCATCCAGTTCCATGATTCTCTCAGCTGAATTATTATTTTTTTGTGCTTTAACAAATAGGGATAGTCATAGTGTTTATGGTATGCAGTTGTTCTGAGGAGAAATTAGGAAAAGGTATGCAGTTACACAGTGCTACGCACAACTCTAAATTCCAATTAAAAAATGTAGGAAAAATGAGGGAAGTAGAAAAATGCACATGAAATGTTCACTATTAGCTTTACTGCAGTTTTTTCTTGGTAGTGATCATTTCGTGCATGCCTACATGTGGGCTACAAGGGGACCAGTTATCGTTTTAATGTGCTCAGCAGGATTTGTTTTTTCTTTCACTCTCTTCCTAGTGAGGAAAAAGAAACTTAGTGGCAGTTGGCATGCTGCCAGCTGAGCATTTGCTGCTTTGAGTTTCAGTTTCTTTTCTTTCCTAGAGTCTCTGAAGTCAGGGATCTTTTAAGAAACTTCTGTCTCCAAACCGTGGCTGCTCGATAAATCAGATAGAACAGTTAATCCTCAATTTAAGCATCATCCAACTCTTAGAAACAGGTAAGCGATTTTTAATTGAAACATAATATTTGTACATATTTATGGGGTATGTGTGATATTTTGATACAAGCATACAATGTGTAATGATCAAATCAGGATCATTGGGAAATCCATCGCCTCAACCATTTATCATTTCTTTGTGTTGGGAACATTCCAAATTTTCTCTTCTAGCTGTTTCAAAATAGACAATAAATTACTGTTAACTATAGTTACCCTATTGTACTATGAACACGAGAACTTATTCCTTCTATGTAGCTGTATTTTTGTACCTATTAACCAACCTCTTTTCATCATCCCCTTCCTCTGACTTTCCCAACCTCTGGTAACCTCCAGTCTACTCTCTGCCTCCATGAAATCAACTTTTTTTTAAAGCTTCCACGTATAAGTGAGAATATCACAGGTAAGTGACTTCTTGCCATCCAATGTTTCCTAGCTGTGTGTGAAGAAAAAGCTTGCTTTCTTTTTTTCTAAAAACGAGCTTCAGAGTGGAATTGCGCTAATGATCATACTTTGCTCTTTCATTTGTCTTTTATTTTAATGAAAATTTCACACACAGATAACTAGAGAGTATAAATGATCCATCCTGTAATCTGATATAGTTTTACCCGATTTTAAAAATGATTTGCTTTTTAAATTAGAATAGTTTTCTTTTACTTAAAAACAAAAACATTACAAATAAAGTTGAAGAAATCTATGACTCTCTACTATACATTGTTTTCTTTTGAGACAGAGTCTCACTCTATTGCCCAGGCTGCAGAGCAGTGTTGCGATGTCGGCTCACTGCAACCTCAGCCTCCCGGGTCCAAGGGATTCTTGTGCCTCAGCCTGCCAAGTACCTGGGATTACAGGTGTGCACCACCATGCCTGGCTAATTTTTGTATTTTTAGTAGAGATGGGGTTTCACCATGTTAGCTAGGCTGGTCTTGAACTCCTGTCCTCAAGTGATCTGCCATCCTCGGGCTCCCAAAGTGCTGGGATTACAGGTGTGAGCCACCGCACCCAGCCTCTCCTATATTCTTTACTCTTCTTTTTATTTCCAGAGGGCAACATTATGTAGACTTTGGTATAAATGATTGTCATAATTGTTTTTATGGTTTTCTGTATGTATGTGTATATGTATCTAAATATGATCTCTAGTATTACTGTGTTAAAATTACTTCTGTTTTTCCATCCTGGCTAACCCGGTGAAACCCCGTCTCTACTAAAAAAATACAAAAAACTAGCTGGGCGAGGTGGCAGGCACCTGTAGTCCCAGCTACTCGGGAGTCTGAGGCAGGAGAATGGCATAAACCCGGGAGACGGAGCTTGCAGTGAGCTGAGATCCGGCCACTGCACTCCAGCCCGGGCGACAGAGCAAGACTCCGTCTCAAAAAAAAAAAAAAAAAAAAATTAGTTCTGTTTTTATATACCAGCAAAAATGATTTTATACAATAATTAAAAAAATTAATAGACATTAATTTTATTTTTCTTGATACATGATACATTACATATTTATGGGGTACAGGTGATATTTGGTGATACACTTAGAATGTGTAATGATCAAGTTAGGGTATTTATGGTTTCCATCACTTTGAGTATTTATTATTGCCACGTGTTGGGAACAAGCCAAGTCTTCTAGCTACTGAAATACACAATACATTGTTTTTGACTATAGTCACTCTGTTGTCGACTAATAGAACTTCTACCTTTTATTTAACTGTATATTTGTACTCATTAACCGACATCTCTTCATCTGTTCTTCCTAGACACCCACCCACCCTTCCTAGCCTCCAGTATTTATCATTATACTCTCCACATTTATAATATCAACATTTTTAGCTTCCGCATATGAGTGAGAACGTGTGATATTTCCTGTGCCTAGGTTATTTCACTTAATATTCTCCAGTTCCACCCCTGTTGCTGCAAATGACATTATTTTACTGTTTTTATAGCTAAATAGTATTCCATTGTGTAATATACCACATTTTCTTTATCCATTGACTTATGGACAATTAGGTTGATTCCATATCTTTTCTATCATTAATAGAAATTCACAACAGAAAGGTTGCTGTGATAAACCTGAGAGATACTAGAAGGAATTTTAACATATTGACCATGTTAAACAATATTTAACATATTCATTGTATTCAGCTATCTTTTACAATGTGGTGTACAGACCCTAAAATAGCTCCTAATTGTCCCTGTCCTGTTTTTTTTTTAATACTCATGTCCATGTATAATCCCCCCTTGCCTGTGGATGGAACCTGTGACTTAACTGTAACATATAGAATTTGGCAAGTGTGATATGTTAAGATTATAATATCCGCTATGCTAGGAGATTCTCTCCCTTGCTAGTTTCAATGAAGTAAGTGGTCACGTTGAGGAGGCCCATTTGGCAAGGAATTAAGGGTGACTTCAGGCCAATAACCAACTGAGAACTGAGGAAAGCCTCTGATCATCGGCTAGCAAGAAATAGAGTTCTCATATCTACAACCATAAGGAACTGAATTCTGCTAACAACCATAGGAGCTTGGAAGCATGGCCTTCTCCCATTAAACATAAACATTCTGCAGCTGTGGCTAGCACTTTGCTACAGTTTCGTGGAAGATTCTGAAGCAGAGAACCAAACTAAGTAATGGCTGGATTTCTGACCCAGAGAAACTGTGAGACTATAAATGTGTTTTGTTTTAAGCCTCTAAATGAATGGGAAATTGCTATGCAGTAATAGATAAATAGCACAATAAATTAGTCAATACTATTACTTTATCTGTAGATGCTTTAGGGTTTTCCACATGTAAGGTAATATCATCTGTGAGTAGAGATGATTTTACTTCCTTTATCATTCAGGTATCTTTTTCACTTTCTTTTTTATTTTGGCCTACTTGTTCTGGCTAGGACATTCAGTATTATGTTGAATAGAAGTGGTAAAAGTGGATAATCTTGTCTTGTACGTGATCTTAGAGGAAAAGCTGTAAGTTTTTCACTGCTGAATAGGATGTTAACTGTGGACTATTTATACATGGATTTACTATGTTGAGGTAATTTCCTTCTGCTCCTGGTTTTTTAAGTGGGTTTTTTTTTTGTTGTTGTTGTTTTTTAATCATGGAAGGGTTTGGGTTTTGTCAAATGTCTTTTCTGTATCTATTGAGATGACCAATTTGTATTAGTCAATGTTCTTCAGAGAAACTGAACCAACATTAAAAAAAAAAAACAAAAAAAGACTAAGGAAATTTGTTATGGGAGTTGGATCACATGACTTTGGAGGCGGAGCAGTCTCACTATCTGCCACCTGCCGGATGTAAAACCAGGAAAGCTGGTGGTGTAATTCAGTCTGAATCCAAATGTCTGAGAACTAGTGGAGCCAGTGGTGGAACTCCCAATCTGAACCCAAAGTCCTGGGAACTGGGAAAGCTGGTGGTGTAAGTCCCAGAATCCGAATGTCTGAGAACCGTGGTGGCCTCAAGATATTTTTAAATTCCCGTTCGGATTTCTTTTTGATCCACTGCTTATTCCAGAGGGTGTAGTTTAATTCTCACATCCTTGTTAATTTTCTAGATTTTCTGCTATTGATTTCTAGTTTCATTACATGGTTATGAGGAAAGATACTTGATATGGTTTCAATCTTCTTAGATTTGTTAAGACTTGTTTTTTGACCTAACATGCAATCTATCCTGGAGAACTCTTCTATAATACATGTGAGAAGAATGTGTATTTTGTTGTTGCTGGGTGGAATGCCCTGTATATGCCTTATTAGGTCCATTGGGACTATGGTGTTCAAGTTCTCTGTTTTCCTATTGATCTTCTGTTTGGATATTTTATAATGGATAAATTATTGTAACCGGGCTATCGAAATCTCCTTCTCTTATTGTGTTGCTGTTTCTCCCTTCAATTCTTTCAGTGTTTGCTTCATTTATTTAGGTGCTCTGATGTTGGATGAACATATATTCATAACTGTTATATCTTTCTGGTGAATTGACCTTTTTATTATTATATGATGTCCTTCATAGCCTCTTATGACAGGTTTTGATTTACTGTCTATTTTGTGTGGGATAAGGACACACACCCGTTGCGGGTTACCTTGCAGTTCTTGCAGTTACTATTTGCAAAGATGCCCTTATTATCACTTGATTTTCATCCTATGTGTGTTCTTAAGTCTAAGTGAGTTCTTGGAGACAGCATATTGTTGTATTTTGTCATGACGTGCTTTGACTCAGTATTATCCTTCTTTCCTTCTTTTTTTTTTTTTGGTTTGCTAATATTTTGCTGAGGATCATTCCATCTATATTTATAAAAGAGTGGCCTGTAATTCTTGTTGCTTATAACACCATTAACTGGTTTTGGTATCTAAGTTATTCTCTGGAAGACCATGTGTAAGATTGTGTATTATATATTCTTCAAAATTTGGTCGAATTCAGCAGCTAGACTCTGATCCTTGAGTTTTCTTGGGGAAGTCTTAAATTAATTATGAATTTAGTTTTATAAAACAGCTATGAGACAGTCAAATTTTGTATTTACTTTTATGTCAGCTTTGCTAAGTTGTATTTTTCTAGAAATTTGTCCACTTAATTAATTTATTCTTAAGTTTATTTTTACAAAGTTGTTTATCTTCAGACCATTTTATAGTTTATCATTTATTGCACCTGTACTGATATTTTCTCTTATGTTTTTGATTTTAGGACATTCCTTCCCTTTTTTCCCTTTGTCAATGTCAGCAGTGTTTTACAAATTTTGTTAATCCTTTTGAAAACTGGGTTTTGGTTTTGTTAATCTTCTCTATTGTGTACTTGATTTGTCCATTAATATTTCTGTCCATTATTTTCGCTTTTATTTTTATTATTTCTTTCTACTTACTTTGAGTTTAATTGGTATTTTTTCTGATTTTTTGAAGTGAAGGTTTATATAATTAATTTTCAGCCTTTCTTCATTTCTAATATATATGTTTAAGCTTATGTGATGTTTGTGACATTTTGTTTTCATTCTATAAGTTTTAACAAGAATATTTTATCATTTAATTAAATTTCATTATAATTTCTTATTTGAATAATGAATTATTTCAAAATATGTTTTTTATTTTCCAACGTATGAGGGGATCTACTAGTTATCTTCTTGTTAAAAAAATGCTGGCTTATACTGTTTGTTCAATATTATAGTACTTTGAAATGTTTTGAGACTTGTTTACTTTTTAAGGTTTGTAGAATATCTCTTCTATACTCTTTTTCTTTTATTCTTGTTTTCTGGTTTCATATATCTCAATGAATTTTACTATATCCTTTAATCCCTTTTGCCCTTTTCTCTTTTGATTCTCTTTTTGTCTCAATACTTCAGTTGGTAAATTTTCTTCTAATTCTTTATGCCTACTTGCAGTTAAATGTTTTCACTTAATTATTAATTTCAGATATATATTTTTATATATAGAATCTCTTTTTGACTTTTTATTGTATTCATTTTACTGTAAATCATTCAATCTTACCTTTTAGCTGTTTGAACATATTAAACATAGTAATTTAAACATCTCTATGGGTAACTCCAGCATAAGTAAGGGTTTGTTTCTAGTGTGTGCTCTTTCCTCTTGGTTTTCTATCATGTTGTTTCATTTACCTCGAAACATGAATGTGTTTATGATGAATGAGAGTCACTGAATAGTTAAAAAATCATAGAGATATTTTGAAGCTGGAAGAATGTTCTTTTCATCCAGACAAGATTTATTTTGTTTCTGCCGTGCAGCTGTGGACACTAGCAACTCTCATTTACTTTAATTCAATTCACGATTGAGAATACTGAAGTATGAAATTAACTCTGTCTGCTTCCAGTTCATACTTACTTCTTCTCTGTAGCTCTTTTCTTAAATTTTTTTAAAAAATTTATTTCAATAGCACTTGGAGTATAAATGGTTTTATGTTACATGGATGAATTATATAGTGGTGAATTCTGAGATTTTAGTGCGTCCATTATGCAAGTAGTGTACATTGTATCTAATATGTAGTTTTTTAAATCCCTAGCTCCTCTTCCATCCTCTCCTTTCTGAGTCTCTAAAGTCTATTATATCAGTTGTATGCCTTTGTGTACTCATAGCTTAGCTCCCACTTATAAGTGAGAGCATATGGTTTTTGGTTTTCCCTGTAGCTCTTTAGAATCCCAAACTGTAGCCTAAGGGAAAGGTTTCCCAGGTACTCTCCTTACTGCACTCCAAAGTATGATTTTTATCTCCGTAACTCTATGAGTCTAGCAAATGCTTTGCTTAACTTTTCAGCACCACAAATGCCTTTTCTGAATCTGACAGATGCACGTCAGAAATGTGCTCCCAAATGCCTAGCTTATCTCTCTTTATATAACTTCTCCAAATCTTTGCCAATAGCTATATATCTTAACTGTCTTGTTTGCTCTTTAGAGCTTTGTGACATGTTTTTTATAGTTTATCTTGCTTTTCCAGTTTTTTTTATTGAAATAATTGTTGTGATGACCAATAGTCTATTATGCTGCTGTAAGACTTCTATAGCTATTATCTTCTTTCATATTTCAGTTTCTTTATGTGCTTTTTTTTTTGCATGAATTCCTAGGCTCCATTTTCTAATTCATACATTGGCAAATGATGAATGTGATATGATGATGATGGCCTCTGTTCCAGCCATATGCTTTTTTAAAGAAAATTTTATTGGAACACAGTCATGCTCTCTTGTTTACATATTATCTATGACTTCTTTTGTATTACAGTGGCAAAGTTGAGTAATTGTGGAAGAGACCTTATGGCCTACAAAGGCTAAAATATTTACTATCTTGTTCATTATGAAAAAGTTTGCTGACTTTTATTCAGATTTATTTTTTCTTTATTCTTTAACTTTCTGAAGTTTGTCAATTGATTTAAAAATTTTAATGACTTTTCCTTTCTAAATTATATATTTTTATATCTAACATTATTGTGCCATTTCTATATTTTTTGCCTTAACCAAATAATATGTTTTAATTGAGTCAGTGAAAAAAGAACTCACTGAAAGTAGAAGTGGAAAGCTAAGCTATAAGCTACTATATTATATAAGCTTCTCAACCTATAATTGTTTTTCCATTAGATCTAGAACAATGGAAGTGACAACAAGATTGACATGGAATGATGAAAATCATCTGCGCAAGCTGCTTGGAAATGTTTCTTTGAGTCTTCTCTATAAGTCTAGTGTTCATGGAGGTAGCATTGAAGATATGGTTCAAAGATGCAGCCATCAGGGATATACTATAACAATGACTTACATTAATGAAAATATGATTGTAGCCTTTGTGCTTGGAAATTATATTAATTTACGTGAAAGTTCGACAGAGCCAAATGATTCCCTGTGGTTTTCACTTCAAAAGAAAAATGACACCACTGAAATAGAAACATTATTCTTAAATACAGCACCAAAAATTATTGATAAACAACTGGTGTGTCGTTTATCGAAAGATGATATTTTCATTATACGTCCAGATAATAAAATTTATCTAGATAGAATGATGACAAAAAACTTGAAACTAAGGTTTTATGGCCACCTTCAATTTTTGGAGTGCGAAGTTTTTCGAGTTGAAGGTACGTAAAATTAGATAGTCCTACATCTCACATTATGATTCTAATCTTTGTGTTTGGTAGGTAATAATTGATCTACAAGAGCAAGGAAAGTGAGAGGAACAGTTAGATTCATGCCAATTTATACTCTTTAATAAATTCTGAAATGAAATGTGGGGAACATAAAGATTATGAGGTTTTTATCCAGAACGTATAGGCTGCTTTGAGAAGAGCAAGTTGAGAAATATATGTGTGGAGACAGAGATGACAAAGGAGTTGGAGATGTGGAGAGAGAGAGATCTTATCATCAGAGCTGGTCTGTTTTGATGTATGACCCAAAGATCAGACCCTTATAAGATATGACCCTTAGAACTTCCAGGTGTAATTATGTGAGAGCTTCCAGAGCAAGTTAATGTGCAGAGAGGATAATTTTTTCTCCTCTTCCTCTCATTATGTTGCCAACCCTGACTCCTAATTGAGCAGCTCAGCCCTGGGTTATACAAGCAAACTCAATGTCTTATTTCAAAAGTAGACTTGGCCATATTTAACCAGACAAGTTTTAAAAACTTATTATGCTATGTTTATTTCCTATAGGAACTAAGTATAACCTAGAGTACACAAAGAGGATAATGAAAGCCAGAGAGTAAGTTGGATTCTTGGACTATCTATTAATGATTTTATTTAGACCAATTGTATAAAGAATGCTGACAAATTAGTAGTAAAGATAAAACTCATGCCACTGGAATGATTAAAAAAAAAAAGAGTTATAATGTTATTGGCATAAAATAACAAAACCACTACCAACTATGAAACTTTAAATATCCGCCTGATGACATTGACCAATTTGACTTCATTTCCACTTCAGACCAAAATTTTTCAGGTAGAGTCTGGATAACCATTTTAGATAATTTCTCTGAATCCTTTCCTTGAGAAACAGCTTTTGAGAATCCTCAGTAAATGTCAAAAACAAACTCTCTTTTTAAATTTATAGGTAGCTACATTGCATATATTTTATTCTGATTTCTCCTTAATGTATTTTTAGTGAAAATAATAATTTATCTTTAATGTTACTGATATTTCTCATTACATTCATGTGATCTAAGACTAATAGTTGAAAGATTGGTTGCTGGTTAATATTTAACTTTAGTCAGACGTAAAATAATGCATTTTCTTTAAGCACAAAATGTATAACTTTAGATATTTCCAATCATATTATAGAAGATCCCATTATCAATATAATAATTAAGTATTGAAAAAAATACCCTTCTCAGGAAGAGAAAGAAGCTCTAGGTGACTTGTAGTATTCTTTACGGTATTCTTTATTGGCTGTTCTTATGCTGTATTTAACCACTATATTTTAACAGGCACAGAAATAAGCTTCTAGCAGACATCAGAGCCTACAAGCCCTATGCAGACTTGGTTTCAGAAATTCGTATTCTTTTGGTGGGTCCAGTTGGGTCTGGAAAGTCCAGTTTTTTCAATTCAGTCAAGTCTGTTTTTCATGGCCATGTGACTGGCCAAGCCATAGTGGGGTCTGATACCACCAGCATTACTGAACGGGTAAGTTATTTCCCTGGGGATTTTATTTTATAGATTACAATTACTATATTGTTTATGTCTTTGCCTTTTTCTCTCAGGGCAATCCTAATATATAATTAAATGCTAAATCAAATGGAAAATAGAAGTAAAATTTTAATCGGAATCACCTCCATTGTGTAATAATCACCTATATTATATAAGGAAGCTTTCAAATTTTATGGAAGGAAGAAGCAGTTACATAAAGAATACTTTTTAGTATTTGTGTAAAAAACAACACAAATTAAAAAACCCTATGGAAATATTTGGCCATTATATTTGATGTTCATTTTACTCATGTACCACATGATTTTACCTGGTTTAAAAGGTTTTTCTTTTTTGTAGTAAAATAATGAGAATTATGTAAGATAATTTTTTTTTATTACATAAGACCATTTTCTAAGACATGGTCATGAAAAGCAAAATAGTATTTCACTTTGGTGGTTCAACTTTGAAGGAGAACTTGAAGTGTAAATCTATGCTCTTACAAAAACTATCTTATTTACAAAAAGATATACATAAGGAAATAAATAGTAATATAGATTTCTTACTTATCTCTCCAAAGAACTACAAATTATGGTGCAACACTTGTCTAGAAAATTCTTTCTGGTTTATGCTTTTCAATGTTATCATGCACATGCTATCAAACAAAAAAATAAGAAAGGGAAAGAATAGAAAATTTTAGAATCAGGCTTTTTAAATGATTACCACAAATTAATATTGTCACTTGTTAGGTGACAATATTATGCTGTGTATTATCAATATGCTGTGTATTATCAGTGCAAAATTTAGCATAATATGAGACTGCATAATAAGACAGTAATGGTTCATTTTAGCTTTTGTGTTACATCAATAACTGAAATAATTTTCTAGGACTTTCAAGAATTACATCTTATTTCTTGATGTTGGCCAGATACTATGCTCTGGAGTGGCTTTATTTTAATATATCAGTGTAGTCTCAGAAGCCATGGCAAAGTACAGCAACACAAATTAAATTAATTAAGCATTGATTGAAATGTCTCTGTTTGCTAAATATTTACTCAGAAATAGAGACCTAAATACAAATAATGCTTGGTCCTGTTGACCAGAGATCTCAGAGACCAATGCAGATAATAAATATGTATCATTCATTGTGATATATGCTATAATAGAGATACTACTCAAGACAAAATTTCTCTTTCTCCTTTTTAAGTTTTAAATTCCAAAGGTCTTATTTTAAGAGAAGCTGTAGACACTGAATTCCAATGAAATGCAAATGTTATTTAAATTGAAGAAATATAGGGCAGACTTTTATGAGGGAAATAGAATATTTTATTGCCTAAAGACCCTTTCCTTTGAATAATTGAAGTTATAAAGGAAGCAAACCAATGGGTAAGGAAACTATGAAGATGCATATTGGTGCACCTGAAATTTTACCATGTACTTTAACTCTAGTGCTTAGTGTAATTTCTTTCATGTTGAGGCACTGGTAAATCCTATTCTCCTAGATAAAAATCTTCAGTGGGATTACGCCTATGTGTTTCATGGCCCAATGAGAGCTTTTGACTTTATTACAGACCACGATAGATCATAGAGGGTTCTCTCCCTTCTGGTTTGAGTGATATTACACCCTTGCCAGAACCACAGATGGAAAAATTGTAATTAAAGTGTCTCTGAGAAATCCTTTCCTTTGCAATTCTTCCTAAATCTTCCATATTTTTGTGTGTGTGTTGAAAGTATATCTGACCAACAAATAAAATACTTTCAGAATTCTTCTAAAAAATATCCTTGACATAAGATTGAATGTGTTTATCTAGGAAAGAAAGTTCTGCTGTGCTTCTCAAAGTGAGATTTGTGGACCCCTTGGGTTCCCAGATACATTTTAAGGGTATCTCTGAGTTCAAAACTATTTTTAGAATTATTCTAAGTTTTTATTTTTGTCTTTCCTAGTGTCTTGACACTTGAATTAATTGTACAACATAGTTTTACCTATTAGCACATTAATATGAATCAAATGGTGGCACCAAACACTACTACTAGTCACTGTATTTCTCCCAATTACTGCACTTACAGGAAAAGAATGCCAGTTTTACTCCTTGATGAATAGTAACAGTTACTGGTTTTATTTAAACTCTACTTTGGAATACACATCATTTTGATATTCAGTATGATAACGTGGGAAGTGCTCATAAAGTACTTCTAATGCATATTGAAATTTAGCAGTTGTCTTTAGAAAAAGCACTGAAGCAACTGAGTTGTTAACTGAACTTTTTTTTTATGTGACGTCACTTTTACTGGACAGAACAGACTTACTTAATCATACTTGGATATTTGGCAGATATCTTAATGAAAATGGTCAAAGCGACCCTGCTAATCAAAGACAAAACCAAAAACTGACAGTGTCTGTTGCCAATAACAAAATTTGAGCTTTTGAGAAAAATCAAAGTTAGAGAAACTTATATCCACTATTCTGAGCCTGACAGCTTTTCAACACTTAAGACTTATCCAATGAGATTAATGGTGGTATTAACAAATGTGATGTTTTAATATTGTATGATGAAATGTGTCAACGTTAGGAAGATCTGGATAACCCAGTGAACCAATGTTTTAAAATGTTCAACAAATTAGGTTAAAAAATCATGCATGAGTAAAAGATATATTCAAAGTATAAGATGAACCAATGGATTTAATGTGGCGGCATATAAAAATGTCGCAGATTCCACTTGCAACTAACCTTTAAGAAGTTATTACTTGTTGAACTTTGCTATATTATGTTGAGGAATATTCACAATTACCTGAAAGCTATACAGTGAAATATTACCTCCTTTTCATAGTATACATACGTGTGAGAGGCTGTATTTTCTTCACATACATCAATTGAAACAACATATCAAGAGACTGAATCGGAGCCATATATGAGATTACAGTTATATTCTTTAATCCAGACTTTAAAGAGAATTATAATAATAAACCAATAACACTGTTTTATGTAAATTTTTAAAAATGCTTTTTAAGTAAAAAATGTTATTTGGTAAACATGTGACAGGTTTATAATTGAATTTTTAATGATTAAAACAACATTTAAGAGGAGGAGGGGCAGAGCAAGATGGTCACATAGGTCTCTCCAGCAATCATTCCTCCACTGAAACATCAATTTGAATAACTATTAACACAAAAAAAATCACCTCAGGAAACCAGGTGAAAGATTACAGTATCTAATTCTAGCACAATAATAACAAAAGATACATTGAAGAGGGTAGGAAAAACAGTTTTATGTCATCTGCATCACCCCCCTCAATCCCAGGCAGCATAGTGTGGAGAGAACTGTCCTCTGCTTGGGGGAAAAGAGGGAGTTGAGCACAGGACTTTGCCTGGACTCCAATATCAGGCCTACTACAGTAATATCGAGCACTGGATAGAACCTCATGGCCCCAGACTTTAGGCTGTTATTTGACAGTTGAGCCTCTAGCCCCATGCTGATGCCAAAGTAAGACCATGTGGCCCTACGCTTCAAGCTTGCACGGTGGACTCAGTCCCTGGACCCCACCATGGATGGATTATTAGTGGCCCAACCTCTGAACAGCACTTAATGACAGGGATGCCACAGTGGCCCTGAGCTTTAGGCGTGCCTCGGTGCTGCACCAGTCACAGTGGTCCCAGGCTTTGGGACTACGCAAGGCAGCATGCCCAGAATTTTTGGATAGGCTGATTGTTGAAGGACTTTTCCAGACAAAGGCAACCTGCAAAGATTGGAATAAGTACCTACTTCCAGAGATGTTTATACATTGACACATGGTCACAAGAGTCAAGAACAATCAGGGTAATATGACATCATTAAAGAGAGAAAATAATGTACCAGTGACCAATCCTAAAGAAATGGAGATGTATGAACCACCTGAAGAACTCAAAATAATTATTTTAACAAAGCACAGCAAACTTCAAGAAAATACAGAGAAACAATTTAACAAAATGAGAAAAATGATGAGTGAACAGAATAAGAAATTTAATAGAAAGGTTGTAATAATTATAAAAAATTAAACAATTTTCAGAGATAAAAAATACAGTAGGTCAAATGAGAAATGAAATAGAGACCATCAACAGCAGAATTGATCAAGTAAGAGTCTGTGAACTTAAAGGTAGGTTATTTGAAAATATAGATAGAGGAGAAAAAAACACAATGAAAAGGAATGAAGAAAGCTTATGAGATTTATGGAACAGCATCAAAAGAACAAATATTCAAGTTATAGGAGCTAAAGGAGACAAGAAATTAAAAGTGATAGATATCTTAAGTAAATAAATAGTAGTAAAAAACTTTTCAAACCTGGAGGATGATGTAAATATCCAGGTAAAGCTGAGAGAAAAGTCCTCAGTCAGATTTAATCCAAAGAAGACTAACCCAAGACATATTAAAATCGAACTGTAAAATATCAAAGACAAAGAGAGGATTCTGAAAACAGGAAGATAAAGAAAGCAAATAACATATTAGAGAGTTTTAATATGACTAGCAGCAGACTTGTCAGCAGAAACTGTACAGGCCAAGAGAGAGTGGGATGAAATATTCAAAGTGCTGAAAGAAAAAACAAACAAACAAACAAACACATCCATTGAGAATATTATACCCAGTAAAGCTATCCTTCAGAAATAAAGGATATATAAAAATTTTCCTGAATGAACAAAAGCTGAGGGAGTTCATTACAATTAGACCTGTCTACTAAACTCTTGCTAAAGCGAGTTTTTCAAGCTGAAAGAAAAGGATGCTTATAAGTAATATAAAAATATCTGAAAGTATAAAACTCACTGGTAAAACTACATGGTAAAATTCAGAATACTCATACTATAATGATGGTGTGTAAATCACTTATATCTTCAATATGAAGTTTAAAAGACAAAACTACTAAAATAATAATAGCTATAATATTTTGTCAAAGGACATGCAACATGGAAAGATGTAAATTGTGGCATCAAAGACGCAAACTGTGGGGAGGAGTGGAGTAAAAATCTGGAGTGGTTTTTTTTTTTCTATCTAAGTGGAGCTGTTATTAACTTAATATAACCAGTTATAATTTTTTTTGTAAGCATCATGATTAACCACAAAACAAATACTGATAGCAGATACATAAAATATAAAAAGCAAGGAGTCAAAACATACCATTATATATATGTGTGTGTGTGTGTGTATATATATATATATACACATGCATGTTTTACATGATAAATTACATATAATTTTCCTTTTAATTAAAAAAGAAACATTAAAATTTTTTCAGTTTTAATTTCCAACATTTTAAATATCCATAGATATAACCCACATAAATAACAGATCTTTGGGATTCTCAATAACTTTTAAGAGTCTAAAGGGGTCCTGAGACCAAACTGTTTGTGGACCATGATGTTCAAATATTAACCAATCTCTTTTCTTCTTATTGTCCTGTCTTGAATGCTGGGTGATGAATGAAACTTTACACTTAATATATATATTTTTAACAGTATAGGATCTATTCTGTTAAAGATGGAAAAAATGGAAAATCTCTGCCATTTATGTTGTGTGACACCATGGGAATAGATGGGGCAGAGGGAGCAGGACTGTGCATGGATGACATTCCCTACATCTTAAAAGGCTGTATACCAGACAGATATCAGGTAAGATTTCTTCAATATCCAAAACATTTCAGATCAGTTTCTTCAGTATTTTTCATTGAATTTTTAACCTCATAAGGCAATTTCAACTGCCATAATGTGGTTTCAACATCAATCAACACTATTCTACTTTAAATGAATAAGAATTCATATAAAAAAAAGTAGACTGACTACTGTTCTTTTCTGTAACATTGAAAAATAAAGCCAAAAGGCAGGATTCTATTTATTCACATTCTAGTAAAAGATCAAGGAGATAGTGTGCTTTTATTACTCTTTATAATAATGTAAGCTAATAATAGTCACTTAATCCCTTGCACTTTTTGGGTTACATAGACAAAATGTTGGAACAAGTAACCACTTTGTGTTGAAATGTGATTTTATACTGTAAATGCTTAGATTTCACTACTAAATACCTAGATTCAAAATTTGGCTCTGCTACTAGCAGATGTGTACCCATAAGTAAGTTACATACTTCTCTCTCTTAGTTTTTTTTTTTAGGTGTGCAATGTTGGTATTAATGATGTCCATCTCATAGGGTGGCTAAGAAGATTAAATGAGATGATATAGTCTAAGTTCTCAAAAAAGCCAACAATGATTGTTATCTTTCTTTTAGGTATTGGGTATCAGCCTCAATTTCTAAAGAAGACTCTCTTTTGCCTCCCAATTTTGCTGAATTGAAAACCTTACCTATGTATTCATTTATTCATTCAAAAACCATTTATTATAAACCATATTTGTGCCAAACTCTAAGCCAGTTACTGAAAACACATAGTTCAATAACAACACAATCCTTATCCTCCAGGAGTTCATAATGCAGTCAGGGAAAAGGAGACACACAGATAAAGAGAGCGGGGATACAGCGAAGACATTGGAGAAATCAGGAGCATACTAACACCTTAATTTTTCACAGCAGGGAACCAGTCAATTCAGTCCAACATTGAAATATATAGCTTAATAACTACATGCTTCCAAACTCTTGTTTCATAATCTATTTCCTTAATCTTAGAAAGATTATTGTCTTGTGGTAAGAAGACATTAACTTCAAAGTTGGTATTTCTTTTATTTCACTTTAGTTTGTTTTTCTTCTATAAAATCAAAATAAATTACAGTCTTTTAATTTAAATAGCATTTGCAACATTATTTTTCTTTCTTTTATTCTCTCTATCCAGTTCATTTAAGCATGCAAAATGCTTAGAGAGGAGTTTTAAGTTGTATTTAACAAATGTTAATGGTGTTTATTTCAGGATAGGATTTGATGTTAGCTTTCCCAAAATATTCTTTATACTTTCCTGCAATACTTACAATGGATGATTATCATTTTTACCACAGCAATGAAGTGGTTTTTTTTTTCCTGCGAGAAAGATATAATGGCATTATGCTCACAGTGGGAAGGGAGTAAAGAGGGGGGTGCTACTAATTTGGGGAAAGAATTGCTGGGGAGGAGAGAGATAAGTAGTTACAGTATTAGAAGCATTAATTGTCTCTTTAAGGATTAAACAGAAACTCTCTGAATTCTGAATGTTACCTTATGTTTTTATAACAGTTTAATCCCCGTAAACCAATTACACCTGAGCATTCTACTTTTATCACCTCTCCATCTCTGAAGGACAGGATTCACTGTGTGGCTTATGTCTTAGACATCACCTCTATTGACAATCTCTCCTCTAAAATGTTGGCAAAATTCAAGCAAGTTCACAAAGAAGTATTAAACTGTGGTGAGTCTCACTCATCGTACTTATCCAAAAAATTTTACTTTGATATAATTATAGATTTGCCAGAAGTTGCAAAGAGATTACAGAGATTTCCCATGTACCTTTCATCCAATTTCCCTGTCACAGGTAGAGATCATTCACAGGCATGACTGAAGAAAGACCCCAAATCCTAATTTTCAGTCTTTAAAGAATAGACTAACCATCCTTTTTTTCTTTTTTCGTGTGTGATTTTCCTGAGGCGTTAGATAGGGAAGTCACTTCTTCACACTATGTGGCTACACCAGGAAAACTGAATCCAGAAAACTGATTGCTAACAATGTGTGTTTATAGTTCTATGTCATCTTATCACATGTGTAAGTTTATGTACCCATCTCTGCAACCAACTATTACATCACTTCATAGATTTCCCCCATGGCACCCACTATTCCTCCACCATCCTTAACTCTTGGCAACCACTAATATTTTCTTCATTTCCATAATTTTGTCATTTTGTGAATGTTATACAAATGGAATCATACAGTATGTCACCTTTTGAGACTAGATTTTTTGACTCAGCCTAATATCCTTTGACATCCATCCAAGATTTTGTATGTATTTATTGTTCATTAAAAAAAATTGTATAGTATTCCGTGGTATAGATACCCCACAGTTTCACCATGCTCTATCAAAAAAATATTCCAGTTTTTAGCTACTGCAGATAAAACTCCTATGAATATTAGTGTTCAGGTTTTTTGTGGACATGTTTTTATTCCTCTGGGATAAGTCTCCAGAAATGTAATGCTGGGTCATATAGTAACTGTATGTTTAACTTTGAAAGAGATCACCAAGCTACATTCTAGAGGGACTGTACCATTTTACAATCTCACCAGCAATACATGAGAGATCTGATTTTTCTGCATTCTTGGTAGTATTTGCTATTGTTGCTATTAGAAAATTGTTAACTCTTCTGATAGATGTATACTGATATTTCATCAGGTTCTTAATTTGCATTGCTTAATGACTAATGACATTGAATATCTCCTCATGTGCTTATTTGCCTTCTGTATAGCTTGTTCAGTGAAATGTCTCTTCACGTCTTTTGACTATTTTCTGATTGGATTATTTGTGTTTTTTAGAACTTGAATGTTGAAAGATCTGTAAATCCTAAATATGAGTCAATTGTAACATATATCATTTGCAAATAGTTTCTCTCAGTCTGCAGTTGTCTTACTATTATGACGATTTCTAGCCCTGCCATATCTCATCTCTCTTTTTGGAACTCTGGGACATGAATTCTAGATATTTTGTTATAGTCTCACTGTTTATTTATTTATTTATTTTTATATCTATTTGCTCTTTATTTTTCAGAGTGGGTAATTTCTATTGTTATATCTTTAAATTCATTTGTTCATTACTTTGTCCTCTCCATTCTGCTTTTGAACATATCTATTGTTTTTCCTATCTTGGGTATAATATTCTTTTAGTTCTAAAATTTCTATTTGATTCTTTTTCATATCTTCTATTTCTTTGCTGAGACATTCCACTTCCTGCATTTGCTTCAGGCATGTTCCTACTTGGTTCTTAAGCATTTTTATGATGGTTGCTTTAGAATCCTTGCCAAATAATTCTAACATCTTTGTCATCTAATTAGGGTCAGGATCTTCTGATTAGCTTTTCTCATTCAAGTTGAGAATTTCCTGGGTTTTGATGTGACAAATGATCTTTAATTGTGTCTTTGATATTTTATTCTGTGACTCTGGATCTTACATCTTGTGTTTTCGCAGACATATTCTGATACTGGTAGGACGGAAAGTACAGGTTTCCCATGAGTCCTTGTTTGACATCCCTAGAGAAAGCGCACTTTCTTACTGCGCCCCACATAGGATCCCCTGATATCACAGGGCTAGAAGCCTCCTTGCATCTAAGGTTAATGAAGGCTAGAGTTCTAGCTTCTCATTTGTTCTCCTCTGACACTGCCAGAGAGGGAGAAGAGCACCTCATTGCCGCTGATTTGGTGGAAGTCTAGGATCCCCAAGTAGCCTCCCTTGACACCATCAGGACAGACCTTGTTAGTATAGTGCAGATATAAATGTGCTGGCTCCCTACATTTTTTTTTTCTTCTCTGATACTACCTTGGCTAAGGACGAAGGTTGGGAAAGGGAAGGACATATCCATGGATCGGGCTAAGTGATTTCTGTGGTGTTTGGCTCAGGTAGTGTGGCTATTTTCTGAAAGTTCTCTGTCTTTCTACACTGCCCTTTTTCTTATGCTTTGACTAGATGGAACAGGTTTTACTTTACTTTTTTTTTTCTTGTTGCTGGCTCTAATTGGCATTTTTTAGTTGTGAGTGTCTCTAAAAGCCAATCTAGGACATATGAAGTAAAAAGAAAACCTAGAGAACTCATCTGTGTATTGTTTCTTGGATCTCAAGGTTTCTAGCCAAATTGCATCCTCTGCACTTTTCAATCTTTATGTTTGATTTATGTATAATGTCCAGAGATTTTAGCCATATTTAGTGTAAAGAAGAGGGAAAAGTGTGTCTACTCCATTTGATTCAGAACTGGAAGTACTCTCACTGAAGTTTGAAAATATTTTCATATAAAGAATTGTTGGGGCATTTATACTCCAAAGCCTCATCACTTACTTTATCAGTATAAATATCACATATTTAGGTTCCGAAAAGTGCTATGCAGTTTAATGTATAGAGCATGGTCTTGGTTAAGTGAACCACATTTTTAAATAGTAGTAAACTTTGACCTTGAGGAAGGTAGCTGAATTTCACTGAACTTTAGTCTTCTGTTCTTATAAAATGGGGATAAGTATTGCATCTGAACTTAACAAACCATCTAACAAATGTCTGAGTAGTGAACATTAGATATACACAATGTAAATATATAAGCTTATATAATCACTTAACAGCTTTAAAATTATGGAGGGTTTGGGGTAAAAGAGAAATGCTAACTTTTAAAATGAGTTTTCAAGGACGTATGGCAACACATTATGCTTGGCATGCTGGATGGCAATGCTTAATGCAACTAACTGTGCTGACTTAGGACCTCCAAAAGGACATTGTATTAATTTTGAAAGAGAATAATTACATTGTAACAGAGGTTGAAAAAAATTATAGGTATCAATTGAGAACTGCCCTCTACTAGAACCTAGGTATTAATTGGCCAACTTTGCTAGTTATTCCTCTGAAACCTGAATGATGAGAAGGTAGTAAAAGAAATCATTTAGATTTCGGTAGGAAGAAGGTACTAAAAACTCTGTTAAAAGAGTTCTGGGAGTTTTCTTGACAGGCATTTGAAATTAATCTTATATTTTCCTCATAAGCAGTTGTTAGCATAGTAGAATTTTGATTCGTTTAGAAGTCAAGTGTGATTTACTAATTCAATCCCTGTGGTTTGAGGGAGAAAGGCATAGGTCCTTATTAGAACTGTGAAATCAGTACAGTTTGCTCTCACAAATGCTCATACACAACCCTCCTCACTCCCTCTTTTTCTTGTGGTTCTTTTTAGTCCCCAAAGTCCAGCAACCCCTTTTTTTCCCCTTGGCCAATTTAAAACAAACTAGTTGAATGGAATAGTAGATAATTGCAATTTAGTATGAATTTAGTTGCATTGAAAAATGCTGTCTCATGTTGGGAAAAAAGACCAAAGATCATTTCTCCGCTAGAAAAGCTTCAGGCTCCATATTGAGATGTGTTGGGGATATTTCATTCTTCAGCTCTCAAAATCACATCACCCTGTAGAGTTGCTTTCACACGTATTTAATAACTTGTTGATACATTGCTATTTATGGTATCAAATAACTGATTTATCTATTTGATATAGGTGTAGCACATGTAGCCTTGCTTACTAAAGTGGATGATTGCAGTGAGATTCTTCAAGACAACTTTTTAAACCTGAGTAGATCTATGACTTCTCAAAGGCAGGTAAAGAACGCTGATCATAACCAGATATTATTGTAATAGTACCACAATCATACTTGTGTGTGGGTGTGTGTGTGTGTGTGTGTGTATGTGTATATATGCTCACACAACGTATTTGCAGGGAAATGAAGAATGAAATCAATTGCTTGATCAATTCAAATTTATATCACACTTAAAACTGCAATGATCTGAATTATTAGTATGTTCCCAAGATAACTTATTAAGCCATTGCTTTTTGGGTTTCTTTCTTAAATTGTATTTAAAATTGGTCAAATTTCAAATATTAAATACAAGACGTAAGTATTTTTAAAATATACTTTCCACAGGTCATGAATATCCATAAAATGCTAGACATTCCTATTTCCAGTATTTTGATGGTTGGAAATTATGCTTCAGATTTGGAACTGGACCCCATGAATGATATTCTGATCCTCTCTGCACTGAGGCAGATGCTGCGGGCTGCAGATGATTTCTTAGAAGATTTGCCTCTTGAGGAAACTGGTAATCTGGTCCTTTACTCCCCCTCTCATAAATCACTGGTACCTTTTGAAAAATCTTAAGTTATACATCAGTTATTAGATGACTGGCGCCCATCTGCATGCCCTAGTCCTGAAAGTTGCATTAGGATATGTGCTTAATTTCCACTCTTGTTTGTTTCATTTTCAGGTGCAATTGAGAGAGTGTTACAGCCCTGCATTTGATATAAGTTGCCTTGATTCTGACATTTGGCCCAGCCTGTATTGGTGTGCCTCAGTGAGAGTCAATCTCTATTGACAGCCTCCTTCAGATTTTGCTTTTGTTCATTTTGCCTTCTGTCCTTGGAACAGTCGTATCTCAAGTTCAAAGGCGAAACCTGAGAAGCAGTGGGCTAAGATAGGTCCTACCACAAACCACCCCTGCATATTTCTGTACCATTTACAATTCAGTTTTCAGTGATACCCTTTTAAACCACTCCAGGAAAAATGAGATATTCTTTTATTTATTCTTCTATAACACTCTATATAGAGCTATGTGAGTACTAATCACATTGAATAATAGTTATAAAATTATTGTGTGGACATCTGCTTTCTTAAATAGATTGTGAGTTCTTTGAGAAACAGTGTGGATTTTACTTATCTATGTATTCACAGAACTTAGCACAGTGCCTGGTAATGAGCAAGCATACTTACCATTACTTTTCCCTCCCACCCTCTCCAACATCACATTCACTTTAAATTTTTCTCTATATAGAAAGGAAAACTAGCCTGGGCAATATGATGAAACCCCATCTCCAGTACACACACACAAAAAAAGAATGAAACAAAACCCACAAAAATTAGCTGGGTATGATGGCACGTGCCTGTAGTCCCAGTTACTCAAGATGATTGATTGAGCCTTGGAGGTGGAGCCTACAGTGAGCTGAGATTGTGCCACTGCACTCTAGCCTGGGAGAAAGAGTAAGATCCTGATTCAAAAAAACAAAAGAAAACAGAACAAACAAACAAAAAACAGAAAGGAAGACTGAAAGAGAATGAAAAGCTGGGGAGAGGAACTAAAAATAAAGAAGGAAGAGTGTTTCATTTATATCTGAATGAAAATATGAATTACTGTAAGTAATAGAATTAATAAAAATGAGCCAACTTTTTAAACAATTTACATTTTATTTCTATGGAAAAAATAAATATTCCTCTTCTAACAAACCCATGCCTTATTTTCATTAATTGAATTCCAAATCATCCTAGCCATGTGTCCTTCAATTTAGGTTACTGGTGCAAATCAGTAAGAAGGTTCTTATACTCATGCTCCAAATAATTCTGAAGTCCTCTTAGTAGCTGTGAAAGCTAGTACTATTAAGAAAGAAAAACAAAATTCCCAAAAGATAGCTTTCGTGTTTTTTTCTTCCTTGAAGACTTCTTAATCCTCTTCTCCAAATTCTTAGTCTTCTTCGAAATAATATGCTTTGGTTCAATAGTTATCCACATTCTGACAGTCTAATTTAATAATATGCTTTGGTTCAATAGTTATCCACATTCTGACAGTCTAATTTAATAATATGCTTTGGTTCAATAGTTATCCACATTCTGACAGTCTAATTTAGTTTTAATAAGAATTATACTCATCTTTTGGGTAGTCATAGATATTAAGAAAGCAAGAGTTTCTTATGTCCAGTTATGGAATATTTTCTAAAGCCAAGCTGCAAGTGAAGTTGTGCTCAAGTGAATGAATGTTCAGGAGACACAATTCAGTGGAAGAAATTAACTCTTTAAAAAAGACCTAGGAATAGGAGAACCATGGAAATTGAGGAGTAGGCCTACAAGTAGATACTGGGAACAAAATTAGAGAGGCAACCAGAAAAAGTCATTTTAGGCTCATCAGTGTTGTGCCTGTTGCAGAGTAACATACCAATACACCAAAACAGCAGGTGTTGCAGTAGAGAAAGAGTTTAATAATTGAATGGCAGCAAATTGAGGAAGGTTGAGGAAACCTCAAATCTACCTCCCTGCTGGGTCTCAGTTTAGGGTTTTTAAGAGAAAGGCAGGTAAGGGGGTGAAGGTCTGGAGCTGCTGATTGGTTGGGGTATAGGGAATGAAATGAAACATGCAGAGATGAAAACTGGATTTTTTTTTTTTTTTTTGCTGAGGCAGTTCCGTGGAGAGGGTCATCAGACTGACTGGTGTCAGCAGACCCATGGGATTCCAGGATCTGGAAAAAGTTTTAGAAAGAAACTTGATGTTTCTTAATGTTACATATGTTATCTTATAGAAATAACTAAGGGAAGTTAGTGCCTTGTGACCATGTCTATGTGACTTTTAGGCAGAAAGAAACTATAAGGAAAGGATCTAACAGTCATGCTATAAGTAGCAGTAAGGAATTGGCTTAAAGGGCAAGCTGGTTAGTACTTAGCTGTGCTTTTATTCAAAGTCTACCTTTAATTTAGTGGTTAATGTTTGCTGTTCATTAGGATGGTTTCACAGTTACCATACAAATGTGGAAGCAACGGGTCCAAAAAGTAGGGCATGATTTTCTCCATGTAATCCAGGGAAAAACCAAGCCTTGGCCATTGTTGGTTGGGATACTGAAGGTGATTGAAGGCTAACCATCATCCTCACCAACTTTTGGATCATAATTCACCCATTCCTTTGATGGAGCCTGAAAACAATCTGGGCAGAATGTAAGACTTTTTATTTTGTTTAAAGGGGTAACAGAGTGTGCCCTTATGAAGGAGATGGAGACCCTGCAAGGAAGAGAAGGAGTAAAGGAGAGATCAAGAAAGAGAAACAATGAGGAACATTTAATTTGACCCAACATCCTTTAGGAGCATAAATGTTGACACTAAGTTCTCCTTTTTGTGCTAAAATGGACAGTATTAGCAAAATGACTGTCAGACCTCTGAGCCAAAGCTAAGCCATCATATCCCCTGTGACCTGCATGTACACATCCAGATGGCTGGTTCCTGACTTAACTGATGACATTCCACCACAAAAGAAGTGAAAATGGCCTGTTCCTGCCTTAACTGATGACATCACCTTTTGAAATTCCTTTTCCTGGCTCATCCTGGCTCAAAAGCTCCCCCACTGAGCACCTTGTGACCCCTCCCACCCCTGCCTGCCAGAGAACAACCCCCTTTGACTGTAATTTTCCTTTACCTACCCAAATCCTATAAAACGGCCCCACCCCTATTTCCCTTCGCTAACTCTCTTTTCGGACTCAGCCTGCCTGTACCCAGGTGATTAAAAAGATTTATTGCTCACACAAAGCCTGTTTGGTGGTCTCTTCACACAGACGTGCATAACAATGATACCACAGCTTCTTATCCTCTGGCTCTATATTGCTTTGGAAACACTTAAACATCAAATGGAGTTAAATACATATTTGAAATTTAGGTTAGGAAATATTGGTGAGGAGGCCTCAAAAAGGGGAAACATCTTTTGTCTGGGAGGATATTTTCCATTTTGTGGATTTCCCTGATCTTTCTCTACCAACCTGAGTGGTAGTGGGAATTATCGTTTTGCTACATTTTAGAGGTCATCCAGGATTTTTGAAACTTTACATACTTTACAGTTAAGCAAGCTGTAGAGCTCAGTCAAAGACAGTGCTAAGGAGTATAGCAGATGAACTATAAGTGTGTTGGGAGGTAGAATATCATCCTAAAATGAGAGTGATGTTGTGGAGACAGTTGAAATGTCAGTGCTAGAGTCTTTGTGGTGTGCATGGGTAGGTTAGGTTGTTACATTAGAAAGTGACTCTTTCCAATAGGAATTTGTAGCTTTGTGCAAATTCACCCACTATCTACCTCAATAAAATATTGAGAAAAGAAAAATAGAGCAGTTTGAGTTCTGTGAGATATGCAGGCCCAGAGAGACATAAGTATGGTCCTTTAGTCTTGCTTCCTGTGTGCCACAGTGCCCCTCCACAACCATAGCTTGGGGCAATTGTTTAATGCCATTTTGTTCCTGACTAGTTGCCTTGCCCGTTATCTTCATGTTCTTGGAATTTGATTCAGAGAGCAATTTATAGCCAATTGATAGCTTATGCTGTTTTAATATAAATTCATGGTAAATAACTTAGGAACTACCTCTTCTTTTTCTTTGAAAACCTACTTGTAACTGTTGCTAATAGGAATGCATATTGTTCAGGGCAACTTGACTCCATGCAGTTGGGTTGTAACTCTCATGCTTGGCCCAAGTAACCTCTCTACTTATATCAGTTTTTCCTACACTTCTTCCTTTTAGGTCAAGAATATCAAGAGGAGTTACTGTGCTGGGTAATGTGTAAACCTGTATTTTGTTTAGAAAGATAAATTTAAAGACTATCACATTGCTTTCTCATAAAACAAGACAGGTCCACAATTAATTTATTTTGACACAAATTGATAGGGGGAGCTGAGTAAGCCCCATATGCTTAACGATCAGCTGATGAATAATTATCTTTTAGCAACATAACTCAATCTAACGCTAAGGTACCCACAAGATGGCAAGGCTGATCAAAGTCTTCAGGGGGTCCTGCAACCAAAAGCCATGGAAATTTGGAAGCCCTCAAATCCCATTCTTAATCTGATGAGTTTATGGACCAATTTGTGGAGGACAGTAGACTAAATAGATCTAATTTTTGCCATCAATGTAAGGAAGATAAAAACCTGCATACCAGTTGTAAACCCTCGTAAAATATTTCTCTGATGTTGGAGAAAATGCAGGCCACTTGGGCCAGTGAGATCATAGATGTGGAAATACAGTCAATATTCAGTTGCACCCTCCTGCAATCCCACTTCCTTCTTCAACACAATTCAAGCAAATAGACTCAAACTGTTTCAGGCTCCAAGACAGGAAGTGCAGTGTAAGCAAAATTGCAAAAATTGAGGGTATGGGGTAGAGATGGGGAGGTCAAGTAACAAGCTGTGCTAAACAATTATGTGTAAATCTATTTTTTCGTTTTTAAAAATTGATTTCTTTTGCACATTTCATGACAATACCTGACAGATTTTTTAAATAAATGCAAAGAAACATATGTTCAAGTCACTGAGCTCATTTGTCTTCTGTTTTGATGAAGTGGTAAAGAAGGAATTAACATGTGAATGGATTGCTGCAATTTAAATAAGCATACAAAGATAAATTAATTTATGGTGCTTTGAGTGTATGAGACCCCCTTCTATCAGAGAGATGATCAGTGTTAGATTTATAGAGAAGGGATTATCAAATTCCCATGGCCAAGAAGGTCAGAAAGAGAGAGAGAAAAAAGTGATTCATGTGCATGATATAACTGTAGACATTTCAAATGAACACTGTATTAGTCCATGCTCATGCTGCTATAAAGAACTGGCCAAGACTGGGTAATTTATAAAGGAAAGAGTTTTAATTTGACTCAAAGTTCCACAGAGCTGAGAGGCCTCAGGAAACTCACAATCATGGTGGAAAGGGAAGCAAACATCTTCTTCTTCATGTGGTGTCAGGAGAGAAAAATGAGTGCCTAGCAAAGAGGGAAGCCCCTTATAAAACCATCAGATCTCATGAGAATTAACTCACTATGATAAGAACAGGATGGGGGAAACTGTCCCCATGATTCAATTATTTCCACCTAGTCACTCCTACAACAAATGGGGATTATGGGAACTAAAATTCAAGGTGAGACTTAGGTGGGGACACAGTCAAACCATATCATTCCACCCCTGACCATTTCCCAAATCTCATGTACTCACATTTCAAAACACAATCACACCTTCCCAACAGTCCCCCCAAATATTAACTATTTTCAGCATTCACCCAAAAGTCCACAGCCCAAAGTCTCAGTGGTGACAAGGCAAGTCCCTTCTGCCTATAAGCCTGTAAAACCAAAAGCAAGTTAGTTACTTCCTAGATACAGTGAGGGTACAGACATTGGGTAAATGCATTCATTCCAAATGGGAGAAATTGGCCAAAACAAAGGAACTACAGGCCCCATGCAAGTCTGAAATCCAGCTGGACAGTCAGAGCTTAAAGCTCTGAAATGATCTCCTTTGAATCTATGTATTACATCCAGGTCACACTGATGCAATAGATGGGCTCCCAGGGCCTTGGGAAGCTCTGTCCCTGTGGCTTTGCAGGATACAGCACCCTCACCTGAGCTGCTTTCACAGCTAGCATTGAGTTTCTACAGCTTTTCAGGCACACAGTGCAAGCTGTCAGTGTATCTACCACTCTGGGATCTGAAGGACAGTGACCCTCTTCTCACAGCTCCACTAGGCAGTGCCCTAGTGGGGACTCTGTGTGGGGGTCCCTAGTGGGGACTCTTTGATCCCACATTTCCCTTCCACATTGCTCTAACAGAGGTTCCCTATGAGGACTTTGCCCTTGCAGCAGACTTCTACCTGGACATCCAGGTGTTTCCATACCTCTTCTGAAATCTAGGCAGAAGTTCCCAAACCTCAGTTCTTGTTCTCTGTGTACCCATAGGACCAAGACCATATGGAAGATGCCAAGGCTGGGGATTTGCACCCTCCCAAGCAACGTCCTGGCTGTACATTGGCCCCTTTTAGCCATGGCTAGAGCGGCCAGGACATAGTCCCGAGGCTACACAGAGCAGCAGGTCCCTGGACCCAGCCCAGGAAACCAGCCTCTAGGCCTGTGATAGAAGGGACTGCCATGAGATCTCTGACATGCCCTTGAGACATTTTTCCCATTGTCTTGGTGATTAACATTCCATTTCTTGTTACATATGCAAACTTCTCACTAGTTTAAATTTGTCCTCAGAAAATGGGGTTTTCTTTTCTATCCCACGGTCAACCTACATATTTTTGAACTTTCATGCTCTGGTTTCTCTTGAATGCTTTGCCACTTAGAAATGTCTTCTGCCAGATACATAAAATCATCTCTCTCAGGCTTAAAGTTCCATAGATCTCTAGGGCAGGGGCAAAATGCTGCCAAGTCTCTTTGCTAAAACACAGCAAGAGTCACTTTTGCTCCAATTCCCAACAAGTTTCTCATCTCCATCTGAGACCACCTCAGCCTAAACTTTATTGTCCATATCACCATCAGCATTTTGTTCAAAGCCACTCAACAAGTCTCTAGGAAGTTCCAAACTTTCCCACATCTTCCCGTCTTCTGAGCCCTCCAAGTCTCCAGGAAATTCCAAACTTTCTCACATTTTTCTCTCTTATTCTGAGTCCTCTAAACTGTTCCAGCCTCTGCCAGTTACTCAGTTCCAAAGTCGCTTCCACATTTGGGAATCCTTATAGCAGTGCCCCACTCCCTCTGTACCAATTTACTGTATTAGTCTGTTCTCACACTGCTATAAAGAACGGCCTGAGACTGGGTAATTTATAAAGGAAAGAGCTGAGGAGGCCTCAGGAAGCTTATAATTATGTCGGAAACGGAAGCAAACTTGTCCTTCTTCACATGGCAGCAGAAGAGAGAAATGAGTGCCCAGAGAAAGGGGAAGCCCTTTATAAAACCATCAGATATTGTAAGAACTAACTCACTAGGATCAGAATTGCCCCCATAATTCAATTATCTCTATCTGATTCCTGCATTCTCCTGTTCATTGCCATTATCCAAACTTAACTCTGCTCCAACCATACTAAGCTTCTTACTGCAACAAGCTGCCACAGGGGTGATTATCCTTGCCATTCTCTCTCCTTATAAAGCTCTTTTCCTAGATATTTTCATGGTACTCCCTCTCACTCCATTCAGGACACTTCTCCAGTGACATCTCATTAAATAGACCTTTCCTGATTATACTGTCTAAAGCAGGAGATTTCTTCCCTCATCACTCCTATTCCTCCTCTTTTTCTCACTTACACTCCAAAACTCTGTTTATTTATTTGAAAAGCGGCAATAATATTGGTGTCTTCATCAAAAAGTTATTAAAATAAACACATGGGATACATGTAAATTACCTTACGAATAATAAGTCTATAATATTATAATTTTTAAAGCAAAGTAAATAGTACCCCATAAGCTGCTTAAAATATTTTCATTTGATGGTGCTATTGGTTTTAATAGGGCCAGCAAATTAAAAAAACCTTTTTAGGGCAGGCAGGCAATTTAAATTTGTTAGAACCAGTCAGGTATAAAGCAAGAGGGGACAAAGGAGGACTGGAGAGTGGATGCCCAATGATATAAAAGCATTCACATTCAAAAATTAAAAAATATAAAGGTATTGCATTGGCCCTACAAAACAAATTTGCAGATTGAATTCTGCTTATAGGACACAAATTTATGATCCTTAGCAATGTGAAGTTAGAGAAGGGGCTTTATTGTGAAATTGACATGGGTTGTTTTATGTCTTATAAATGAAGTCTCCTCATTTTCCTGTGGTGAGAAGAGAGGGGGCAAGTAGAAAAACAGAGGAACAAATTTGGAGGCTAAAATAACATTCTATATAAGGAAGTATACTAGTGCAGAATTAATTGATAGCCGGGATTAAGAGATGTAAATTAATTTGAGATACATATTCTAGAGGTAGAATACACAATACTTTTTGTATGTCCATATACAGAAATTGGTTGCATTTTCCTTAAATAAAAAGATTTTTTTAAAAGTCAGTGAACTGTTATGTTTTCTTCCCTCTGACTTCAATTCCTTGATTTTTTCAATACTATTTTTTATATAAATTTACTGTCTAAAAGCTGGATCAGCTTATGCTCCTTTGTTGAGAGAAGTTGGCATGCTGTCAAGTGGGCTGGGCATACTGAGTTTCAGTTTCCTTTCTCTGAGTCTTTGAAACTTCAAGGCTGCAGAATAATTTCCTTTGCCCGTTTTGTGCCTGCCCAGCTATCCAGACAGAGCAGCTACCCTCAGCTCTAGCTGATACTACAGACACTACAACAGGTAAATGTCTTTCTGCTTTTCCTTTTTCCTAGCTGACATTAGTCTCTCTCTTTCTCTCTCTCTTAGGTGACAGTGTCACTTGCCAGTCTCTGTTTCTGTTTTAATTTAAAAAGCAATGATTTATAGGAAAAAATTAGCTAATGATTTTTCTGTTCATCCTTTGTTTTGTCATTTTTTATGTTATGTAGAATATGTAAGAGGCATAAATGCAAGGTTTATAACAGTATATATTATCTGTTTCTTAATATTTAATGGAAAATATATCTGATTTGCCACTAGATCAAGAAGTATGGCAGTGACAACTCGTTTGGCATGGTTGCATGAAAAGATCCTGCAAAATCATTTTGGAGGAAAGCGGCTTAGCCTTCTCTATAAGGGTAGTGTCCATGGATTCTGTAGTGGAGATTTACTTGACAGATGTTGTAATCAAGGGCCTATTCTAACAGTGATTTATGGTGAACATCGTATTATTGGAGCATATGCAGAAGAGAGTTACCAGGAAAGAAAGGCTGCCTCCATCATCCTTTTTGCACTACAAGAGACTAAAATTTCAGAATGGAAACTAGGACTATGTACACCAGAAAGACTGTTTTGTAATGACAATGTAAAATATAACTCCACAACTAATTTCCAGATAGAGTTAAGAAATAGAAAAGTGATTATGGGCTCAAAGACAACGGAAGATCTTGGACTTGTTCAAAATTGTACTATTTCTATTCAGGATTGTGAAGTTTTTCGATGTGAAGGTAGGTTTAATCAGATTATCCTGTATAGAGTTCTCCCTTGCATGTTTGGTTGGTTTAAACCAATTCATCTCTTTAAGGAAAAATGACCTTTTCACTCAACCATAATTTGGATGGTTCAGATTGAAACCCGGACACAAATTGTTTGCTAAGAGACAACCAGGGTCAATAAAATGTATATTTATGATAACACTTAACATAAGATTTATCCTCTTAGCACATTTTTAAGTACAATAAATTCTCAGTTAACGTGAACTATAGGTTCTTGGAAACTGTGACTTAAGTGAAACAACTTAGAAGGAAACCAATTTATTTCCCTTATCATTATGGAAGAAAGACATTAGTCAAGGACATGCTATATGTTGTTTTGCGTAAAATTACAGTTTCCAAGAATCCATGATGATGTTAAGTGATGACTTACCGTATACCAGCAGTGGTCTCCAACCTCTTTGGCACCGGGGACCAGTTTCGTGGAAGATAATTTTTCCACAGACTGGTGGTGGGGATTGGTTTCAAGCACATTACATTTATTGTGCACTTTACTTCTATTGCTATTATGTCGTAATATATAATGAAATAATTATACAACTCATTGTAATGTAGAATCAGCCGGAACCCTGAGCTTGTTTTCCTACAACTAAACAGTTCCATCTGGGGGATGATGGGAGACAGTGAATCATCAAGCATTAGATTCTCATAAGGAGCATGCAGCCTAGATCCCTCATGCACAGTTCATAATAGGGTTTGCGCTCCTATAAGAATCTAATTCCGCTGCTGATCTGACAGGAAGCAGAGCTCAGGCTGTAATATGAGCAATGGGGAGAAGCTGTAAATACAGATGAAGCTTCACACTCCTGCCGCTCAAGTCCTGCTCTGTGGCCTGGATCTGAACTGGCCACAGACAGCCTAGGCTCCGTGGCCCCGGGAATTGGCGACCCCTGCCATATAGTATTGTTGCTGTAGGTACTATGCTGTACAGTAGATCTCTGGGACTTAATTATCTTGCATAAGTAAAACTTTATGCCCTTTGACAAATATATTCTCCTTTCTTCCTTCCCACAGTCCCTAGCAAACCACCATTCTAATTCTGCTTTTATGAATTTGACTATTTTAGATTCCTCATGCAAGTGGGATTATGTAGTATTTGTCCTTTTGTGTATGGCTTATTTCACTGAGCATAATATCTAATATTGCTGTACCAGTAATTTCAAAGATAGGGGCAATCAGAAATCTAAGAAAAGGCAGAAAGAGTACTTAGATATTCTGTGTGGATCCCTAAATCTTTCCTTTCCATATGGGACATATGCTTTCAGGGCCAGAAAAATAGGCAGGGGTTTTAAGTGAAGTTTATGGGCCACTTTACATATTGAAAAATTATATAACAGCTTCCAGGGAGGCAAGAATGCCCCCTTAATCCATGGAATCTGTAATTTTTTTTGTTTGTTTGTTTGAGACAGAGTCTCTGTCACCCAGGCTGGAGTGCAGAGTGCAGTGGCAAGATCTTAGCTCACTGCAACCTCCGCCTCTCAGGATCAAGCAGTTCTTCTGCCTCGGCCTCCTGAGTCGCTGGGATTACAGGCATGCACCACCATCCCCAGCTAATTTTTTGTATTTTTAGTAGAGCCAGGGTTTCACTGTGCTCACCAGACTGGTCTCGAACTCCTGACCTAGTAACCGCATGCCTTGGCATCCCTAAGTGCTGGGATTACAGGCGTGAGCCACCGTGCCCGGCCAGAATCTAGATTTATTTACTAAGTAATTCTTAGTCACTGATATCCTGTTAAGGATATTCAAGAGATGTGTACTATTCCGTGTGGGAAATATCATTAGTCTATTCACCAGGACATAAAATTACTAGCATACTTATTAGAAAATTAGACTTGGTCAGTTGTCTTCCTTTTTTCCCTGAGAGTGTTCCCTGGTAAAGTGAGCGAATGTGTCTGTCTAGCTACTTTAACTCCTACCTTCATAGTGATTCATCCTTATTCTTGTATGTAGCAATAGGTTGTTCCTTTTCATTCATGCAGTATTCCATTGTGGTGCATCCTTCACAGTATTTTATCCAATCATCACTGGTGGACATTTGTGTTTTCCAGTTTGGGGCTATTACAAATAATACTGCTATAAATATTATTGTGTATATCTTTTGGTTCACACATATAATTGTTTTTTGAAGAAAATACCAATGAAATTGCTGGATCACAGGGTATGTATATGTTCATCTTCACACTGACGACATTTCCCAACATAGTTTTATATCAATTTCTACAACTATAAGTAGTGTACAAGGGTCTCTGTCACCCCAAATTCTTTTCAGCGTTTTTTTTTTTTTTTTTTTTTTTTGATTATGCAACCATTTTGGTATATGAGTGGTGGTATGACATTTAACAAATTTGTCTTTCTTTGATAAAACAAGATAATTTATTTATTTTACATTTTAAAATAATTACTATATTAATTTATCCTTTCTTCAAGTTGTAAAATTTGGTTTTGTATTTTGTGTTTCTTTTTATATTCCTAAGGTCCGTTTCTTTATTCTTTTTTATTCTATTTTCAATTTTCAGTGTTTTCCTTCTTTCTTGTCATTAACGAAATAGGATATTATCATAAAATTGACATAAATGATCATATTGCTATTTTCTATATATTTGTAATTGTGGTTTTTATTTCTTTTTGGATATTAAAGTTATTTAAGACAGTGCTTTTTAAACTCCCAGGAGGTTGCTTTTCCATTTGTTTGTAATTGCGCTTTGCTAGTCTTATTATATTACAGACATTGAGGGAAGTTTTCACAATTTCTACTATTGGTAATATTGTTCACTTTGTTGTCATACATATGGCCATGTTTATAAATGTTCCACATGATATTCTTCTTTTGTAACTGAGAGAATTGGTAGCATCGCTTATCCTTATCCTTTCTGTTTTAAATTCAACATAAAAATGTCTCTTTCTAAGAAAAAATAATTCTGAGCTTGTGCCTTATTGATCTGAATGAAATCCTCCGCTTACACTTGAACAATTTACTGCACTCTGATTGGGTAGGCATGAGTCTCATCTTCTCTTCTGGGGGCAGGAATAAAATTAAGTGAGCTGGAAGTTCCCGGAGTTCCAATTGTTAATAGCAGGTTGTAGAGAAAATCTAGTGCCGTGTTTTCTGTTTGTGTGTCTTTGCACATTATCCCTCTCAGACCTATTGGATTATGGAGGGGAAAATGTCTTATTAGACATTTCCACATTTCCACATTAGACATTCCCACATCTCTAGGCCTTGCTTCTTTTCTTTAGAAAACACCCACACCCTCAATTCCCATGTGGAAGTGAGTCACATACCACTGTTGAGTAACTGAATGAGAAGAGATCTGCTGATAGTACAGAGGGTCTACCTTGCCTCTAGTGCTAGCCTCTTCAAATGTTGTTAATGAGCTTTATCAGAATTTTCTCTATAAAATTGTTCCCTTTTCACCATACAGGACCGTTCCCATGGAAAAGCTATTTTTTTATTTGTCTCTAGTGAATTCATTGACATTCATTCAGTCAGCCAATCATTCGACAACTTCTAATCTACATTATTCTTTGATTATTTCCTCAGATTTACTGGATGAAAGAAAGATAAAAGGGGTGACTGAGTAAGTCAATGTTTTTAAGATTCTATTATTCTCTTCATTTTCTTTTTTTTTTTTTTTTTTTTTTTTGAGGCGGAGTCTGGCTCTGTCGCCCGGGCTGGAGTGCAGTGGCCGGATCTCAGCTCACTGCAAGCTCCGCCTCCCGGGTTTACGCCATTCTCCTGCCTCAGCCTCCCGAGTAGCTGGGACTACAGGCGCCCGCCGCCTCGCCCGGCTAGTTTTTTGTATTTTTTTAGTAGAGACGGGGTTTCACCGTGTTCGCCAGGATGGTCTCGATCTCCTGACCTCGTGATCCGCCCGTCTCGGCCTCCCAAAGTGCTGGGATTACAGGCTTGAGCCACCGCGCCCGGCCTATTCTCTTCATTTTCTTTGACTTATTCTATGATAGGTCTCATCAATATAATTGGCAACACATATTATCACACATAACTTGTGGATCATCAAGAACAAACTGTATTTATAATCATAAAATATTTGATAATATTAATGTTAAGACAAAAAGGACACTGAGTAGAGGAAAGGAATTTTTAATGTGATATACTTGAAGAAAAATAGTTATTTGTTTGTATGTCTGTGTTTTACTTAGAATTCTTGCAGTTAATGTTTCAACTACTCTAGAGGTTGCTAGAAGAAGTGGTTGGCAGGTGGGGAATACCCACCATAAACTTCAAGAATATGTTAGAAATGGTCTACTTTCATGAACTTCGGAAGTCACATGTATTTTGACTTCTGAAGTTTAGTCTTAAATAATTGATCTTTATGTTTAATACAGCGATTATTTATTCTTAGATGTATGTGGTCTACCAATTTAGTTGTGTATTATTTTTGCTTTTTGTTCTTTTTGCAATAGGATTTCACGTAGGTTCATCTCATGTTTTTTAAGTAAGAAGGCAAGTTGCTAATAAAAAATAATATCTATGAAAAAAATGAATCCGCAGAAAATTTATAGTAAGGTTTCATGACCTAACCGCAGTCAATTGTTAAAAATGATCATGTCTAAACAGGCTCAGGAAGAGCTTATTGTCTGCCTTGAGAACTTATGAACCATATGGATCCCTGGTTCCACAAATACGAATTCTGCTGCTGGGTCCAGTTGGAGCTGGGAAGTCCAGCTTTTTCAACTCAGTGAGGTCTGTTTTCCAAGGGCATGTAACGCATCAGGCTTTGATGGGCACTAATAGAACTGGGATATCTGAGAAGGTAAGCACATCTGAGGCCACCTAGCCTTTGCTTCTCTGTTCAAATCAATTATATTTCAAAAGCCTTTTGCAGATCAACTTTATTACGTATAGACTTCATCTCAATTTATAATAAAAAATGAACCTTTAAAATTGCTTTTATCCCCTCTACAGTATAGGACATACTTTATTAGAGATGGGAAAGGCGGCCAATATCTGCCATTTATTCTGTGTGACTCACTGGGGCTGGGTGAGAAAGAAGGTGGCCTGTGCAGGGATGACATATTCTACATCTTAAATGGTAACATTCGTGATAGATACCAGGTAAGATTTGCCTAATGAGAAATTATAATTATTTTTAAAATGCTTATTTTTGTACAAATGTATCAGCATTTATCTTCTTAAACTATACTTGCTCAAGGTCCTTTGTCCCTATTCGATTTTTTTTTTTTTTCAAAAAGAATAAAAACATCTTGAGGGCTCTTCCATCATGGCTATCATAACAGCTACCCCACTTTCCACTGCTTTCAGCTATGTGAAACAGAAATCCAACTGCATCAACTTACCTACATAGATAATTTTTCTTATGTAAGAGGAAGTCTGAAGGCAGGCAGCTTGGGACCAGTGTGGCAGCTATCTGAAGTTATTAATTTCAGAGATCCTTCCGATTTTTTGAGGTCCTCAGCATGGGCTGTTAAGATATGCCTCCCCCAAATTTATATGTTGAAACCCTAGTTCTCAATGTGATGGTATTTGGAGGTAACGACTTTGGGAGGTAATTAGGTCATAAAGATAGAGACCTCATGAATGGGATTAGTGCTCTTATATACATGAGAGAGATGATCTCTTTCTGTCATGTGAAGATATAGCCTGAAGGTGACTCTCTGTAAACCAGGAAGAGGACCCTGACCAGAAACCGAATCTTCTGGCACCTTGATCTTGAACTTCTCAGCCTCCAGAACTGTGAGAAATAAATGTTTGTTGTTTAAGGCACCCAATCTGTATAACGTGTCATAGCAGCCCCACCTGACTGAGACGTGTGACTGTCCTTTTTATGTGAAAAGAACACTGAGCGCTGTCAGTGTTCCAGGCAAGAGGAAGGGGAGATCAAAGAACCATCTCAGTATATATTTTTTAAACTTCTAGCCTTCTAATGAACATTCAGATCTTGAATAATCATGAAGTTTACTTTGTTCCAAACGATAGTCAATGATGCCAACATCTTTCACTGAATGCCTTTTGTATCTTTTCATTATGAAATATTGGGGTCAGTTTTTGTATTCTCTAGTTTTTTCTATTGATGTAGTGATCTATTATTTCATGATAGCATTTTAATTACTATATTATCTAATTGTTTAATTACCATAATAATCAATTATGGCTTGATAACTTACCAGACAAGTCACATTCATTTTTTTATTACTCCTATTTGTTTTTCTTGGCAATTTTCATACATATACCTTTTCAAATGAGGTTTTTTGTGCTTTGTTTGTTCATTTGTGTTTGATTTCTTGTTGTTTAGATTGAAATTATATTAACACTTTATACTGAAAATTGATTGACGTCTTTACATATCTTGTGTGCCTGTTAAAAAACACAGCAAGTTTTGTTTTTCTATTCATGCAAGATTCTTTCATTCTTTAGTATAGAGTTGTCTTGTAAGTGTTGTTTATTTTTAAATATTCTTTTTTAAATACAAACTTTTTATCACAGAGAATTTTAAAATAGACAAAATAGTTTAATGGATTCCCATGTACTCAGATTCAAAAATTTTTGACTCACAGCCAGTCTTGTTTCATCTGTATCTACCCACTTTCTCTTCTCTTGTATTATTTTGAAGCAAACCCAAGAAATCATAACATTTTATTCAATACTGACTATACATGTAACTATACAAATAGGAGCATATATATATCTCCTTAAACACAGTCATAATACTCTTACCCCACCTAAAATTTACAATCGTTCCATAAATTATCAAATACAACTCAGTGTTCAAATTTATAATTGCTTTATAAATATAGATCTATACGTTTGTTTGAATAACATTCAAATAGGTCTATTCAGTCTCTTTGATTGTATGTTCTGACTTTATATCCCTTGCTTTTTCCTTATCATTTGTTTCTTAAGAAATCTAGTTGTTTTGTAGACTTCTATGTAATCTGAACTCCATTATTTTCATCCCTCAGGGTGGTTTTACATGGTCCTCTGTTTTCCATATGTCCTGATTATTGAGAGTTGAATCTAAAGAGTGTTCCAATTCAGATTCTACTTCATAGATTGTGTTGTATTCTATGAAACTGTGCACAGTTTGGGGATTTATCCCTTTTCTAATATTGGTATTAATCAATGTTTAATGCCTAGATCCATTTATTTGTTAAGGTGTGAAAATAGTGACATTCTCTATTATTCTTTCACCATTTCACATACAAAAGAGAAACTTACCCTCATCCATTCTTTGATTATCCAGTGGCACAGTTTAAAAAGAACAACAGGATATATGCTTGAATTTTTTGCCTTTTTACAAGACTTTGAAATAATGACATTTTCTTCACCTTTGCCAATAGGGTCAAGATATTATTTTATTGTTATTAAGAACAACTCAGTATGAATTGAACATATGTTGTGTGTTTCAATCCATTGTAGGTTTTCTCCATACTGATGTAAAATGTACCATCTTGTACCAGTGAGAGCCTCTACAATTTGGATCCTGAGTCCATTTGACATGAACCTAAAAGTCTTTTTTATATTCTTTTATTCTTGCCACAGCTTTTGAGACAGCTGTTTCTTCAAGTAGTCCTGGTGTGGGGCATTAGAAATGTTCATAGCTACTTGGCTGGTCATTGTTTCTTGTCTTTTTTAGTGAGCAGAGTTAAGTAATATACATTTTCATGAAAAAAATTTATAAACTTATACAAAAACTTCTTATTCAAATTCAGTATTAGAAAGTTTTTACTTACTCTCTTTTCTATCACTTGTATATCTGCTTTCTCCCAAACTGAGAATTCTCATTCTCAAAAACAGTGGCGGTAACAGAATATCATGTCACAACTCATTCCTTTATCTTACATATCATCTACAGGAACCTCAGTATAAAAGCTCTATCAGTACCATGAACAATCTCATCATAGTCACACTTAGTATCATTTCATATAATCACAATCAAAACTGGAAATAATTAAACCATCTTAGCAGATTTTTATAGTGTATTTAGGTTGTATCATGTATCCTTGGAGGGGTATACAAATTATTGTATTTTAAAGTCAATCAAAATAGTTTATCCCTGTATTATAACCGCAATAGTTCACTAATTCAATTAAATTTAGGAACTGATTTTCAAAGTTAATTTGGTTTTATGTTTATGTTTAGCATTTACATGGTTCAAAGATCAAATCTACAAAATAATGTATATTCAAAGAATCTATCTTCCTTCTCTGCCCCTTCAAATAAATTTCTCCCCTCTTCCTATTAGTAACCATACAAAATTTATATTTTTCTTGCCTTTTTAAATATATAACAAAGTACATATAAATTTGCGGCTACTCCATTCTTGGAGAAGTGGTAGAAAACTGCTTTATTGACATATCAGACAAAGTTTAATTGATATGGCATTTTTCTGCTACAAATGTTCCTGCAGTCAATAACCTTTGCATATATCATTATGTGTTTTTGTCAGTGTATCAGTGGGACAGATTCCCAACAGAGAAACTGCTAGCTGAAGAGTAAAGTCGTCTCACCTTGAACCCCTTTCCTCCTTGCGCTCTGCTTGATGGTACCAGCTTTTTTTCTCAATTCTCTTACTTCCATTTGTGGGCAGAGTGCCTTTCTTATCTAGAACACCTTCAGCCGTATCCTTATCCTCTTAAACTCCTGCTATTTTAGCTCTCAGATTACATGTCCTTTCCTCACAGATGCCTTACCTGACAAGGTGAAAGGACTGCTAGCTTACTTGCATAATGCCTGTATTCTCTATTAAGATTGTTAGCCTCACACTATAGGAGACTTTTCTGTTTTGTTTACCATTCAGTTCACTTGCACAGTGCCTGGTACATAGTTTGTGCTCATAAACATTTGTTGAATTAATATGTTACTTTATGTCTACCTTACAGTTTAATCCCATGGAATCAATCAAATTAAGTCATCGTGACTACATTGATTCCCCATCGCTGAAGGACAGAATTCATTGTGTGGCATTTGTATTTGATGTCAGCTCTATGGAACACTTCTCTTCTCAAATGATAGTAAAGATCAGAAGACTTCGAAGGGAGTTGATAAACGCTGGTGAGTCTCATTCCACTTTGCTACTAAGGGTAATTGACTAGACTGTGTTTTAGAATGTATTTTGGACAGGATAAAGAACTTCAGTCATTGCATATTTCAATCTTCCCTAGTCTACCAGCATGCTTCAATGAAATTGAGCATTCATTAGCTATATGACTGTGTGCAAGTAACTTAAACTCTCTGTGCCTCAATTTTCTAATCAATAAAATTGGTATAATAATAGTACCTACCTTAGAGATTTTTCTTTTGTTAAGAATTAAAACAAATTAATGTATATATGAAGGGTAGTACAATTCAAACTATCTGCTACCCCTATGTCCTGGCATGCATTTATTGACAAAGATTGGGCCTTGAGCTTTAAGAATTAGAAAATGATAAGTACCGCGTGCTAACCGATTGCGCTACTGGAGCTCCATGGAATACTCTGCAGCCATAAAAAAGGATGAGTTTGTGTCCTTTGTAGGGACATGGATGCAGCTGGAAACCATCATCCTTAGCAAACTATCACAAGAACAGAAAACCAAACACCGCATGTTCTCACTCATAGGTGGGAACTGAACAATGAGATCACTTGGACTCGGGAAGGGGAACATCACACACAGGGGCCTATCATGGGGAGGGGGAGGGGGGAGGGGGAAGGGATTGCATTGGGTGTTATACCTGATGTAAATGACGAGTTGATGGGTGCTGACGAGTTGATGGGTGCAGCACAGCAACATGGCACAAGTATACATATGTAACAAACCTGTACGTTATGCACATGTACCCTAGAACTTAAAGTATAATAATAATTAAAAAAAAAAAAGAATTAGAAAATGAAAAAGAAACATGTCGTAAGGAAAAGAAACTGGAAGGTAAGATGTTTGGTAGAGAGAGGTAAAGAGTTTGGAGAAGGTAACCAGGATCAGGGATTTAGGGTGACCCATTCTGGCTTTTCTTGGTCATGTCCATTTGGAATGAGAAAGAGCCAGTTTATCACTGTTCTTGGTTTTGAAGCAGAGAGTGATCAACTTACCTGCTTGCTGAAATTTAGAACTTTGCAAAGAGGAGATGTGCAGGGAGATGATTGCTAGTATTGTGAAATAAGGGAAGTTTACTTGTGATACTTTGACACATTCTGTCTCTTTCTAGAGGACTCTTCTCCCCTATCTTGTTTATTAGAGGCCTTTGGCCTTTAGTCTCTGTCAAAACACAACTTCTGGACAGAATATGAAATCAATCAGCAATATTGCGGCATAAATTTTAGTTATCTCTTCCAAGAAGTGGTTTCATTTGAGTCCTCGTTTGTTACCATGGAAGGCAGTGAAGGTGACTCCCCATGTCAGAGAAACTCCAGATACTAATAAGTAGTCCAGGGGAGTTTTCTGGGGAGATGAGGGTGACCAGGGTGCAGGGGATCTTTCCAAATCTGAAATTGTTCCACAGGTTGCCTATTGCATAACTGATAGTTAAGTAACTTGAAAATACTGACGCTCTCTAAAATGATAAAAACAATTCTGTTTGGCATAGGTGTGGTACACGTGGCTTTGCTCACTCATGTGGATAGCATGGATCTGATTACAAAAGGTGACCTTATAGAAATAGACAGATGTGTGCCTCTGAGGTCCAAGGTAATGAATGATGCCCTTTGTAAACACATTTTCTGGGATATGTTACTACAATCACATACTAGTGTGTATAAAAATAAAAACACGCAGCTACTGGGTTTAAGAAGAATTATACAAATTACTTAAATAGGGCCCATTTCCCAAGATTGAAAAGTTGAATACAGTCGTTCTTTGGTATTTGCAGCGGATTGGTTCCAGGAACTTGCATTGCTACCAAAATCTGTGGATGCTTAATGGCATAGCATTTGTACTTGCATATAACCTATGTACATCCTTTGATATACTTTAAATAATATCTAGATTACTTATGATACCTAACCCAAATTAAATGCTATGTAAATAGTTTTTCTACTCTATTTTTAATTATTAATGACAAGAAAATAACCTGTACGTATTCGGTACAGATGAAATATTTTTTCAAATTTTATTTTTTTATTTTTTTGAGATGGAGTTTCTGTTGCCCAGACTGTAGTGCAGTGGCATGATTTTGGCTCACTGCAACCTCCACCTCCTGGGTTCAAGTGATTCTCCTGCCTCCGTCTCTCTAGCAACTGGGATTACAGGCATGTGCCACCACACCTGGTTAATTTTTTTGTATTTTTGTAGGGATGAGGTTTCACCATGTTGGCCAGGCTGCTTTCAAACTCCTGACCTGAGGTGATCTGCCTGCCTCAGACCCCCAAAGTTCTGGGATTACAGGCATGAGTGCCTGCACCCGGCCATTTTTTTTTCAATTGTTTTTGAGCCTTAGTTGAACTCACAGATGCAGAACCCATGGATACAGAAGGCTAACTGTCTCTCTTTACACTGACATGGGTAAGTTCATTTATTACAATTTAATTCAACTAGATTCAATTCAATAAATGTTTATTGATTATCTTTAAGATTGAGCCAGTCTCTTATCAGCTACGCAGATCAAGAAAAAATTCCCCCACATTAAACATTTTACAATTTTATAGATGGGGGTGAGGGGATGGGAGTGTGGGCTAAGAAAAAGTTGACAAGAAATTATCTATGATTGACAATGATAAATATCATGAAACAATGAAAAATAAAGTGCTTTAAAAGTTTAGAGAAGAAAAATACAGTGTTAAAGGGGTTCGGGAAGATTTCATCAATGGGACAGCACTGGGAAATGGCTTTCAAGGAGAATAAATATTTCAGAAAATGAAGAGACAAAAAGGGCCAACAAATTCAGCATAAGACAATATATTAATGGAGGAAAAGTCAACATGTTTGGGAAACGTGGAGTTCAGGTTAGTGAAGGGCTGGATCTTTGTGGGGGGAGATAAAATGGGCAACATTTGCATGAAGTAATTTTATTTAATTAGGAGCATTATGAGGAATCACAGCAATTTTTTGAAAGAGTAATGATATGATCAAAGTCAATCAAAGTTATGATCTTCAGAAAAATTAATGTGGCACTGTGCACAGATTGGAATCAAAAGGAATCTGGAAGTGGGAACACCAGTTGGGGGAATGCAATGATAGTGAATATCTGCTGAGCATTAAGTATGTGATAGGTTTTCTTAATTAGTCCTTATAATAAGCCTATGAAATTGGTACTATCATTACTGCATTTTACAGGTGAGGAAACAAAGAAAACAGAGTAAATATTTGCCAATGTTTATTGACAGTGCTGAGCAGTGACAGATAAATATTTGGAACCTAGGCAGTTTGGTTCTAGAGGTAAAATAGTCTAAACAAGAATAAAACAGTAAACTGGTCTAATAAAATCTACTTATCCAGAGAATGTCTTTTAAAAGAAACAGGAAATTTATGGACTGTGGCATAGGTGTCTTAAAATTTTTGCTTCTAAATCATTTAGAATCCACTGCATGCATTCCAAATTACTATTACCAGTGACATTAGAACTTGATATGTGAAGTTCTTTAAGAGTACTTTGTGAGACCAGATCTCCATTTTTTTCCATTGGGAAATTATTGCCAAGTTCTTACATTTTGATATTGCTTTTGTAATTTATACTGACATAAAATAATATTTTTCACTGTTTTCCAATGTCTTTTTAATTTCTGTATTGCAGCTAGAGGAAGTCCAAAGAAAACTTGGATTTGCTCTTTCTGACATCTCGGTGGTTAGCAATTATTCCTCTGAGTGGGAGCTGGACCCTGTAAAGGATGTTCTAATTCTTTCTGCTCTGAGACGAATGCTATGGGCTGCAGATGACTTCTTAGAGGATTTGCCTCTTGAGAAACAGGTAGATGTGTTTGGTGGTGTGGAAGCTTGAAAAGAGTCAGGTAGTTGGCTACTTTCTGCCTGGATCTATCAGCTACCTGGCAGCTCTCAGTCTTTTAGTGGGTTGTTGCCCTGTGATTAGTCCTGCTCTTTAACCCACTGTCTCGATGCATTTTTCCCTCCTCACATTTCCCTCTTTTCCTGGAGTGCATCCTAAGAGAATCTGTACTACAATTTTTCCCCTCTTGTCTTGAGATGAAAGCTTTAAAATAATCCACTTCTGTCATTTCCACTCTCTGAACATCCCAAGCTGTATCCCTGGCCTCTTTTCTCAGACTATGTTTCTTTACTCAGGACCTAGAACTGGAATGGATCAGCATTGCTCCTTATCAGATGCGACCTTTGATTATTTGCTCCTTCCTTGGGACCTTACGCTCCTGTCTTTTTTTGATTTGCCTTTTTGTTTCTCTCCTTCATCTTAGTCCTTCTTCATGCAGTATGGCCTTTGCTAGGTAGATGTATGTCCTTTTATGGAATGGCCACAGAATTTAGTATTACATCAACTTTCTTTTAACAATCTGTGCATAGTACATGTTGCACTGTTCCATTTAGAGATTTGACAGAGATTTCAGTTTAGTATACTCAAATCTTATTTTAGTGCTTGGGAAATGAATTCAGAATATCATATCCTCTCCAATTCTCTCTTTCTCAAATTGCTGGGAAACTCTCATGTCACTAACTTCATTGCTCTAACTCTACCATCTTGGTTTCACCATCCCTTCTCTTCCTCAAGGTACATGTGCTGCTAATATTGCGTTCGTTGAGATCTCCAGTGTCCCAATATTCCTCTTCCCTCTGGTTGCCTTTCCTCAGATAATCCACTAAGAATATTTTGTGTTTCTTTTCTCAGGGAATCAAAGAAAGGTAATTATCAAGTGTGCACAGGGAAGAAAATTGATATGTGAAAGGTTCACATAAATTTCTTCATATCACAGAAGATTAAAATTCCGAAAGGAGAAAACAGACCAAAGAGAAGTAACTAAGACCGAAGGGATGTGTTTTATTAATGTCTAGGATGAAGAAATGCATAGAACATTGTAGTACTTGTGAATAACTAGAGATAGCATGATTTAAAGTCATAATTGTGAAAAATAATAATAATTTTTCTTGGATTTATGTTCTGTATCTGTGAAAAAATAAATTTCTTATAAAACTTGGGTCTAACTTGAGAGTGTGTGTGATTTTGGAAAAATTATGATTTGTCAGTATCTTCTAAAATTCACTGCTTTCACCTTAATTTTGCCTTCTGATTTTATTTCTAAAATATGTGATTTTGGTCTGTATGAATCCCTTCTTAATGTTGTATTCTTTAACCTAAAGCCATTTTTGCTTAATATTTGATACTTACCAAATGTGGTACTTAATATTCATAAGAATTCCATAAGACTAAAACAGAAAGAGACTATAGCTTGATTACTTTATAGTTATGACTATTTTAGTTACAAGTGACAACATTCGCCCTGAACTATATGAATAAGAAAGAGGATTATAGTATTGGATCAACTAATCAAACCAAAGAAAGGGCATAAAACTGGCTTCAGAAATGATTGAATCTGGGAATTTAAAAGCTGTTGACTATTTCTCTCTCTCTCTCTAGTTGTCTCTCTATTTCTGTCTCTGTCTCTCTCTCTCTCTCACACACATTCACCCCTTCATTACTTCCTTTATGTGTTGCTATCATTCTTTCAGGTTAGCATCCTTGATAATCTTAAGCTATCTTAATTCAAGTCTTATTAATACATCTAAAATTATTAGCAATTACTTTTAAAAAGCTTTTTATTAAAATGCAGTATAAACATAAAAGGTGTATGATTCGTGTATATGGCTTGATGCATTTTTATAAACTTAACAAACCTGAGAAACTAGCACTCAGATAAGAAACAGAAGTTCACCAGCAGGCATCTCAGAAGTCCTCTTTATGCCCCAGCCTAGTTATTAGCCAGGGTATCTACTGTTCTGAGTGTTACCCTGCTGATGGTAAACCTTAGTTAAAGGAAAAGTTAGGTCCATAAAATGGACAAAATTGAAGGCAGTACATCTGACAGAATAGGACAATTTTGACGCATCTGAGGTAATGCTTGCTATTTTGATTCATGGTGTGGTTAATGCCCTTGCACTTAGTGCATATGAGATCCACATGATCAGTCAATTAAAAATACATTGTGAGGAGAATTAAATTATGAAAATCTGTAGTAATTCTGTGGAAGAACTCAAATGGATCATGTTAATGGCCACCAGATAAAGCCTAGTCACTGGCTCATAAGGGATTAGAATACAAAGACTGATATACTGGTCCATTCCTTGGATGTCTCTATTTGGGGACATGAAATAAACAGAGATATTGTCTTTCAAGCTATAAACATTGGTTGGAATCATGACATACTCCTTTATGGAAACTGCTAATGTAGTAACACAGTGTTCAGAATGCTAATAGAGAATTTCTAAAAGATGGCTTTTGGTAAGATTCTTTGAAAGCAAAGAACCACAGGTAGACTACGTAGAATCCTTACTAGTAGCCCCAGGTGTCTTCAACTGGGTTCCGACTAGAATAAATGAATGTTGGGCTTTGACTTTGCTTATACTTTCGGTGCAGCAATGTCTTAGGATAGTGGTCCCCAACATTTTTGGCACCAGGGATTGGTTTCATGGAAGACAATTTTTCCACAGACCAGTGCTGGGTCAGGTGGTTTTGGGATGATTCAAGCACATTACATTTATTGTGCACTTTATTGCTGTTATTATTACATTATAATATATAATGAAATCCTTATACAACTCACCATAGTGTATAATCAGTGGGAATCCTGAGCTTGTTTTGCTGTAATTAGACAGTCCTACCTTGGGGTGATGTGTGACAGTGATGGATTATTAGACATTGGATTCTCATAAGGGCACAATCTAGATCCCTTATATACGCAGTTCACAATAAGGTTCACATTCCTGTGAAAATCTAATTCCACCACTGATCTGACTGGAGGCAGAGCTTAGGCAGTATGTGAGCAATGGGCAGCAGCTGTAAATACAGATGAAGCTTCCCTCGCTCACCCACTGCTCACCTACTGCTGTGTGGTCTGGTCCCTAACAGGCCACAAACTCATACTGGTCTGTGGCTTGGGGGATGGGGATCCCTGGCCTAGGACACTATTTAAGATGTGGAACAACAGAATGTGAATAAGCTCAGTTTCCTAGGTTATATTTCCTCAAATCAGAGTATACACATCATGTTGTCTATGATCAAAACCGAGCTAAGAGACTCAGCATCATATGGACTTACCAAATTCTGCATCACCAATATAGCAACAGTTTGATCAAGAACTGAAGTGAGTCATTCTGCCCTTTTTCAACATTCAAGATGTCTAAGCAAGGATGTGGTGGGTCCTCCAGTGTGAAATGCTGGAATTCCCTGGGTTTTCCAATAAAAGCCATGATCAATTGTGTTGACAACACAGGAACCAAAAATCTCTGTATCATGTGAAGGGAATCAAAGGGCAACTGAACAGACTTTCCACTGCTGGGGTGGGTGACATGGTGATGATCACAGTCAATAAAGGCAAATAACCAGAGCTCAGAAAGGAGGCATACCCAGCAGTGGTAGTCCAACAAAAAAAGTCATACCAAAGAAAGAATGGTATGTTTCTTTATTTTGCAGACTATACAAGGGTCATAGAAAATAATGAAGGCAAGATGGAAAGGTCCGGCCATCATAAGATTGGTTGGAAAGGAGTGTGCTGGCCCAGGATTGTATTAGATGCTGACAACATTGCATGATTCTCCTGTGTATTTGTGTTAAAAAAGTAAAAGCCAAGTAGCTAATGAAAAATATTTGATTTTCCCACTCCCCGTAAAACTAACTGGAATGGGCAATTAAACTATCTGTTGATAAAAACTGGTGATGATGAGGACATGAAGGACTAGCTGGCTGGATTGGGTGAATTTAAAGCTGAAAAACCATTGGGAAGGATTCTGATAAATGGTTGTAGGGATAAAGAGAAGATTGATGATGCACTTGCACAACTTTATCTTTCCAACAAAAAATTTATTTTATCTTGCCAGATCAAGGTGTATTAGGTTTGGGCTATAATAGCATATCCCAGCATAGGGAGGCATCACCACTCAGGATACTATTTCAATCCCGGTGAATTTGACTTTCATCCTGGTAAGGAACAATGGACTTGATAGTGAATCCATCTCATGTATAAAGTAGGACTGGCTGTAAGTGCCTCTCCATTGCCTACAAATGGGGTGGTCCCATCACTACTTATATTTATAGTTCTTCTTCCTGGGGAAGGCCTGGCAGGGCTATTCCAGCTGTTTGCCTTATGTAGTTAAGCAGTAGAGACACACCCAAGGAGTAAAATCTGGTAATAAATAGGTAACAAATGGAAAGCAAATGGGGGATTGTGGCAGATGAGAAGGGTGTGCATAAAATGTGTAATGATGCTGGGAATGAACACATCACTTTTTTCCTAAGAGAGTATCTCAGAACAAGAGAAAAATCACTCTCAGCTGTTTCTCTATTCTGTAGTCCCAAGTAATTGTCAGCTGAGAAAGAAGATCCTAACATTTTCTCCCACTGGAAAGGAGAATGGCACTGAGGTCAAGCTACAAGATTGGGCCAAGAACTCTGTTTAGGTTATTTCCTGAAAAGACATCAATTATCCTCAATGACCTACCTTTATATTAACTGGTTGAAATTTTCCTTTGAATCTGATTTTGTTGGTTACATTTATCGTATTGGTTCTGTTGTAGCCTGGAGAAAAATCTTACCCTTGAGCTGAGCTGGATGTATTGTGACTCTCAACTGGGTATGGCTATGAAGAAAAATGTGCCACCACTGCATTTCTAATAGGCTGGAATCCCCTTTGCTCTTTTGAATAAATCACATGTGAATGTGGAAGGAATATTAAACAAATAGAACATTTAGGACATTGGAGTGGGGTCCAAGAGAGTAAACTATTGCTTGATATGATGATCAAATATCACTGATGGATTTGCCTTTGAAACTTTGACAAGAATGAGTATGGGCAGTCTTATGCATATTAAACTGAACTGCATCTAGGAGTCATGTTCAACTGACAATCTTCTGGAGGATCAGTATTTTGGGTGCCAAATATATACTTGAACAGCACTCACAGCATAAAGAGTTAGTAGCAACTATACTAAAGGTATTAACTTAAACCAGCTCCAACATAATAAGAGGGATTTGGGATCCTTGGGAACTAAATTTGATGTGGTAATCAAGTGTAGATGGCTTTTCTGGAGGTTCATTTTTATGAGAAGGAATTCTTTCTTAGGAAGGTTGCCTGTGCTAGGTAGGTCAGTTAGACAATAAAATTATTTGAAATTTAGAAAGAAAGAAAAGAAGGAAGGAAGAAATAGGGGAAGAAAAGAAGAAAGGAAGGAAAAGAGGAAAGAAGGAATTAAAGAAGTTAGGAAGGAAAGGAGGGAGGGAGGGAGAGAGAGAAACAGCGGGGCTGGGTAAACTAGAGACTTAGGCTGTGGAAACACAAGTGCCGACCTACTATGGCAAGCTATTACTGGGAATGCAGTCTTACTGCTAATTTCTTATAACCAGAGTACCCAACTTTAAATGAAAGCCATATTCTTTATGGTGAAAATTGGTTGAGATTGGACAGCTTAAGGATCAACACCATTTACTCTTTATGGGAAACAGATGCTACTTAAAAGTCTTTATCAGTAAAGCCTTATTCTGTAAAGGCTGGCATATGTTTTTTTCTCAGACCAGATGGTACCTAGAATTTACTGAGCAGTGGCCTCTGGTAACTATCCCAGTTACAGGAAAATAAATAGCATGCAGAAAATGGAATATTTACTGGGATGGGTAGTAAAATGACACAGTAGTATTATGGATGTGTAGCATGTTCAGCATTATTTAAATTTCCTACCATAACTGTTTGGTGCAATAAAGGATATATAGACTCATTTACAGATGTAAATGAAAATAAAACTTTCATAGATAGTGAACTTTCACAATGCAATGATCTCCCATTTGATTAATTACCTGTGGAAGCTAACTGTCCAGAGGAAGAAGCAAATTTAATTTTGGAAAAGTATACATGCAGTTGAATGCCTCTATCAACATCTATAAAATATGCAATTGTGAATAAAAACATAAAATAGTCCATCTATTAAGAGAAATAAAA